AGGTGTCTTTTATACAGATGATGAGTTCAAACAGGTGCCATTCATACAGGTAACGAGTGGGGGACAGAAAAGCTTCTTACAGAAGACGTTACAGGTCTGTGAGAGCCAGAGATTTTCCTTGTTTGAGGTGACCAAATACTTATTTTCCACCCTAATTTACGAATAAATTCTTTACAAATCCTACCATGTGAATTCATGGATTTTTTTTTCACATTCTGTCTCTCACAGTTGAAGTGTACCTCTGGTGCAAATTACTGACCTCTGTCATCATTTTAAGTGGGGGAACTTGCACAATCGGTGGCTGACTAAATACTTTTTTGCCCCACTGTAGTTTGTATCCTTAAATGAAAGAGCCCTAGTCAGGTTCATTTTGAGCGTGGTACTTCAGCTATCTTTGAAACTTTAATTTATATCAGTATGTTTCAGAATATTAAGATCCACCAGGTCACTGGTGGAACACCTAGGGTTGGGGTTAGGGTTAATCAACATCCACCACTTGTTTTTTCAAAATTTTCACCCATAAGGGAAAAAACAGAAAAGCTTTAAACCACAAAAATCTAATATCAACATGAATGTATGGGGCTTCATTTGAAAGGCACCATCTCTTAGGTTTTTTGTTTGTTTGTTATTGGACGACAGCCTTAACACCTTACCGGGGTGTCCAACTCCAGGCCTCGAGGGCCAGTGTCCTGCAGGTTGTCTACAGCTGATTTAAATGGCTAAATTACCTCCTCAACATGTCTTGAAGTTCTCCAGAGGCCTGGTAATGAACTAAACATTTAATTCAGGTGTGTTGACCCAGGGTGAGATCTAAAACCTGCAGGACACCAGCCTTTGAGGCCTGGAGTTGGACACCCCTGCCCTTGACATTTCAGTGGTAACCTGGTGGATGTCAGAAGGGTGTGGTATGTGTTTAAGGGTCAGCACTTGTGCCGCTCTAACAGCCTTGTAGCTTGTCAACTCTCAAGAATACTTCAATAGTTTAATATTTCTTTTAATAGAGGTAATATATTTCTTTTTCAGATTCAGGTGAATTAATTACAGACATGTAAATACACTGCCCTAATTAAATTAAGTTCATCTGTCTTTTTGGATTAAGTGCATTTCCCATAAATAATTTTTGATAATTTTGTTTTTAATCCAGGTTTCAGTGTTAAGTTTCTAATTTTATTATATTTCCTCATGTACCCGTTTAACATTTCTTACTATAGACAGAAAGAGATTGTGACGGGAGTCACTGGAGCTTGATTATTTTAGCAAAGACTGTGTAGGGGTCCTCTCTGAGTTGCCTCACATCCTTCGTTTGGTCTCCAGACTACTGGGAACTGTCTGGTGTCTTTTGGCTGCTACAGCAGATGTTTGACTCCTTTTTGTTTGTCCATTTTTTTTTTTTTTTGCCAGTTTCATTGCGCAACTAATGTATAATTGACTTCTTTGAGCTGTGTGTCGAGCAAGCCCCTACTTTACTGTACCATCTTTCAGAACCTCTGGGATTTTACCACCCAGACTGCCAAACCAAAACAATGAGCTGAAAGAAGCTGAAAAGTTGTAAATAGGGTGATGGTTTGGAAGTGGGATTGGCAGTCTGAGCAATCTTTTAACACTAAACAGTCTTTTTGTGTTTTCATTCGGTGCGTTTTTGTTTTACTGCATAATTATTGCACTCAAAGAAGTGTATCTTGACACATACAAAGTTCTTTATGATGCATTCACCCAAAAAGTGTAGGTTAATGCATACTAACAAGGTAAAATAATGCTCTAAGATCTTTACCTTACAGTATGAATGGCTTTGACATTGTTATTCTTGTGAATTGTTCTTATATAAAATGTATTTAATTGCACTGAAACAGCAAGTTTTAGTGTCTTCCTGCAGCATTTAAAGAGTTTCCCGCTGCTATGTATGTGTGTTTGTGTTTATTGCAAACATCCTCAGATGTGGGAGGTAATGGATGTTGTCGTTGCCCTAGAGCCCCACTACAGATTGACCACATGTATGCATTTTGTGTAGCTTACTGTGCATTTGCTGTACAAGCCAGCACAAGCAGCACCTTTGGAGAAATTCTCAGCTGTACCTGCACCACAAGTAGAGCAACTTAGCAATAAGAAAACACTACGTGGTGATCAGGGCTTTAAAATGTTGCAATTGTATATTATTGTTATTAATAACCCTTTTCCTTGAATGGTGGCCTGCCAGCATTTGAATGGCTTAACTTTGATGGGAATTTTACATAGTTTAAAGTGAATAAAGAAAGACTGCTTTAGTGAAAATGCATTACTGTTTTTGTTGTGTAATGTTGTTTGCCTAATGCAGCATAGCACATGCAGAAATCGCAGTTGTATGATGGGCCACTGTAAGGAAGTCACTTCGTCAGGAGCTCTGAAGAAGTTTTTGGCAAATTGACGGTGACCCTTCCTTAATGCTCTCATCTCCCAGATTAGAGTTGACAATGATACAGCTCTGATCCTTGATGAATGAAGGCCAACTGCAGGTGAATGTAGCTGAATTTGGTTTTTTAGCTGGGAGCAGAACCTCTGGCCTAATTCTACCACCATTTTACAATTGAGTGCTGTGCCTAGCTATGCCCATTGTCTGCTCTTTATGTGGTGAGTCTGGCTTGACCCATGCTGTCCTGGATGATTGCTCTCCAGAAATGTACTGGCCTAGACTGACAGTACGACCAGGACGGGATGTTTTCGGGTTATTGGAGTTTGGTAGAACAAGCGTGGAGAGTTTTCTCTCTGCCATTGATAGAGTTTTTTGGAGATGACAGGGCATCTGAACTGACAGCGGTCATAGTCAGTATCCAAACTTAGAAATGTGAAAAAATGTGATTGATTGGAGCTGATTCTGTAGTAGAAATCATTATTGGGACTGTTGTGCAAAGGAATGTTCTTTTTTGTGTTCCACTATTTTGTGTATCTATACTTTTTCTCTCTCTGGTATTTGTAGCCAACCTATGCAGACCAGCATAGGCATGTGTGAGGGATGCCAAAGAAATATGGTGCCGCTGGCTTGCCCAAAGACCGCACAGAGTGCTCTGCTGCCAACAGAGCCTCCAGTAATTATAGACCAGGGCTGTGGATACTGTTGCTCTTCAGGCTAAAATGAAACTAAACCCCATATTTTATACTTGGTATTTGGTCGTTTCTTCAGTGTTTAAACGCTGTGTTATTTTTGGGCTGTAGCTTGAGTCTCTTGTGTTTATAGTACAGCCTGACTGAGTTAAAGTATAGAATAACTATCAAGAACATAAAGGCAGGAGTAGCTTTGATGCCTTTGTTGACATTGCAAGCCATATGTTTTGTTAAGTCTCCATTTTTGTTATTATGTTGATTAAGATATGTATAAAATACTCAGTTGCACCCCATCTCTGTATCAGTCACTAAATAACTATCAGTTTCTATTTCTAAATTGCAGGTTATGTGGTAGGAAGCTAAATTGTATGTTGATGTTAAATTTACAGTCTTGGCAGTATTCCACCGACACTGTTAAAGCAACAAATGATTAACATGAGTGACACTAAAGCCCATCAGCGAGCTTCCTCACCCCGAGGCCATTCACACTGACCGCTGGCTCCTTTACCAGTACGCTGCTGTTCTTCAAGGACTGTGAGGTCGCTGTCCTGGTGTTCTAATTATGTCAGGGTGGAACTGACTGCAGGCCGCTCTAATTGGCCAACAGGATAGTGGCATCATTTGTTCCTCTGTTATTAGATTTTGAGTGTATGTTAGCACAACAGCCTGCTGGAACCCTTTTTTAATGATCATTTTCATGATTTCTTCACATGGGCTTTCAAATGATTTTGGATGTACCAAATATCCTCTATTTTATAAATTATAAGAGGAAAAACTGACATGTTTAAACTTAAATATATACATTTTTTGTTTGTTTTTGTTTAAGAGAACTACTGCCATACTTTTTATTTAAACGCCTCTTCTCTCCCAAGTCCATCCCAAGTAGACAAGCCATAAGAATTTTTGCCCCTATTGAGCAGCCATAGTACCTAGAGTACCTATTCTGGTGAACTGACACAATGTGTGTCAAGTTAGGTCAGTTTCCACTATCTCTTCTAATTGATTATAATATGTATGAAGTTAACGGTCTACTGAGCAGGCTCAGAAGCAGTGCTCACAAATGCCAGGTCTACATTCTTCTCGTTAAAGAAGAAGTCTTTAATCCTCGAAATTAGTTCGATTGAAATGCCTCCAAGCTGCTGCCGCTTTGCTGTTAGCTTGCAAGCTTTCCATGCAATGTTAGCTCTCCTGCTAGCAACCAGTGGACTACTGCCATTTACAACTCAATTGATTGGGTTGGCTGTTGGTCAGCACATTGTCAGTGATTTTGTGTCAAGATGGGACTGATGTGTCATGATGGGGGGCTTGAGAGAAGGTCTATTATTAGTGTGCTGAGAATTACTAGCAGTAATAGGAATGGCTTTTTTTTTCTTTTTGAGGGAGGGGTGTAATAAGACTATAGTTTTAAAGATTGAACGCAACAATTAAAGACAGTAGATAATTTAAGGAGGTATAAGTTGACAAGAAATTACACATGAGGCTCTAAAGTTTGATATGTGCTTAGTTTTATACAGAATTGTTATCGACTTTTACATTTTTCCTTTAATACAGTAGTTTTGTTTCCATGGCAATGTGTTATCAGTCCCAACACCTACAAATTTTCTGGCTTAAACTCTGTCATTTCAAGTGTGGTCAGTTTCTTAATTGGTGTGGCTTACTACTACTTCCGCACTGTGTGTGCAATTTTCGTTACCATACACAATATCAATTGTTTGATTCTCTTATATTTTGCTAGTAAAAGTTTCAAATAAAAGCAAAAATTTTAATTTTTCTGAAATTCTTCTGTGTCTAAGCTGTTAAGCAGCATGTCTATTAGATATTTTTAAAAGTAGGTATAAATGGAGAGATCTATTATTGACAGACTTATTTTTTGACCAAAACAATAATCAGTATTTTTTTTTCTTCCCTGTCCTCCTCCTCGTTAGCCACAATGAACGGAAGGTGACCTGCAAGCATCCTGTGTTAGGCTTACCCTCGCAAGACAACTGCATCTTTGTCATCAACGAACAGTAAGTCTCTTGTTTTTTTTCTTTTCTTTCTCTCAGAATGCCACTGTGCAGCATTTTTAGCACTACAGTATGCTGTTGAAACTCCTCATGTGTAGGCAACATTGCATAAGTTGTTGCCGTGCCATCGTCTATTTGCAGTTCTGCCCTTTGAATTCAAAGGCTCTATTCAATGCATCCTCAGTTATGCGGTTTCATAAAGAAATTTCTCAGCAGTAAGAAGGAAAGTTCTGTTAAGAAAAAAAACATTTGTAGGTAACTTTTCATATTTCAAAGACTTAAATTTTAGTGCTGGTGCTAAGGCCCCAGAGTAAAAACCATTATTATTTCAGGCATACATCAAATAGTGGAAAACATGATTAATCACATTTTGGCCCTTGTTTTGACCTGGAGAGAAGTTCATGTCCTTTTCAAATACAGTACAGGGTCAACTGTGTGACGTCCATGTGATCATCTACACTGCTTTCAGTCATCAAATTTTTGCCCACATGACTGAATCAGATGTCAGTCATCTCAAGCTTTTACTTACAGGAGATCAACACTATGACTCTGTCCAGTATTTTCATTACCATCCTCTAACTTCATAACCTTCCTGATTGACTGTTTAAGTCCGCAGCATGTCGAAAGTGAGGACAAATATCTGTCTGCTCCACTGCCCTCCTTAACTAGTTCCCATTCTGATTTACTTCAGTCTGTAAGATTGCTAAATATACACAGCTTACATCACAGCCCACAGCGCTTTCATGGTTTACCCTAGCCATCATAGCTTAATGCTGCGTAGCATGTTCCAGCTCTGCTCAGTTTCTAAGTTAGATTTTAAACCCCATTCATTGTAGATCTCCTCCACTAGATTGTTCCACTAAAATCAAGCCATCACAACTGGTGTCACTTATTTTAGCACCGAATACTGATTGAAACACGTTCTGCTCCAAGACGTATAATTTCACTCTCAAGTGGTTCGGCAGTAAAGAAGAAATCCCCCAGTCGTTCTTTATGAGTACCAGTTTCAGCTTTTTCCAATATGTGGGTTAGAAAGTTGTTTTTTTTTTCCAGAGCATGCTGTAGTGACCTATTTGTGTCTCTAAAATCTTCTGAGCAGCACTTTTCTTCGGTATAGATTGAATAATCAGGAAAAAAAAAGTTTGTGAAGAAGCTTGTTGTACCAGAACTGTGACACTGCACTCGCTTGACACATTCCTCTCTCCACTGTGTTGCTCACACATTTCTGCCGCTTTTCACGCTAAGAAGCACAACATGTCAGTGCTAGATAATATCTAATTTAGCAATTTGAGTTTTATCATTTACAGAATCTGCAAAAAAAAAAAGGAGAAAAAAGAACGCACATCGGGTCCAGTTAGCGAAGGCAACACAGAAAAGCGGTAAACCTACATGACTCACAATTCGAAGTTTATTACAGAGCATTTCATCCAACAGTTGGCTCTGTTTTAGTAAAAATAGTACAAGGCCAAAATCTGCACCGTGGACGAGTAATAAAAGGCAAAGACGGATTTAAGCTGCCACAGGGATAAAGAGGCCTTGCTGAAAATCTCCGCTTAATCTGCTCTGCACTTTAAATGCACTCAAAACACAAATCTTTGCCTCAGTTTGGCATTATAATCAGTCTAGTATAACATAAAGCCTGCCTCAGCCCACCTTAAGATGGAATAAAAAGTGAGTAATTCAGGTAAAGGAAGCTTAGATTAGATTTGAGTTAATGGATTGGAGAAGACAAGCAGCCATGTTTACTTTGAGTCCCTATTTGTGTCCCATTAGGGTAGATATAGCAATGATATGTGAAGCTTTATTATGAACACTTAAACTGCAGTAAGTTACAGGATCTTCTTTCCCTTAAACAACTCTCAAAAAAGAGCTCTGCTGCTGGAAAGAGGTACAAATAATAAACTGCAGATTTATGTAACAAAACAAATGTCAGTTAGTTACATCATTTTCAATTATTTTTGTAACTTTGCCAGATAATGGGGTGCTTCTCTGGATCACTGGTTGAGCAACTGATCCATGTGCCAAAAGGCTACTGCAGAGGCCCGGGTTTAGCTCCACTCCAACCTGTCCCTACGTGTTACCTTTTAACTTTCTCTCTTTTTCACTTGTCCCTTGTAATTTCCCTCATAATCGCTTGATCCATTGACCGCTCATACTGAGGCTCATATTGAGGCTGTTGGCTTGGAGATGGCCCTGAGCGCTGGATAGCGTTAGCTGTTTTTTCTTTGTTAGTGTCTTTAAAATGTTCACGTTGAGCCGGGTTAGGGTGATTTAAATGTCTCATTAGGTTTGTCGTTAGAATTGTTTTTCCGCCGGTCTCCCTGTGGTTTACTTTGCTGAACTCTGGGTCTTCAGTCACAGTGAAGAGCTCCCACGATAACGACATGTTAGCATGTGGCCGTGAGTGTGTACAGGATCTGCACATGAATAAAACAGATCAGCTGGCAATCAGACATGAGAGGCTGACCGGTCACCAGTTCAGGCTGTGCACACTGAAAATCAACCATTTCCAGTCTCTGGCTAGTCAATTGCTACACTTTCAACAGGAAATTCTAATAATACTGTAATTATACCGCTTTGTTCTGGAAAGCTGTCACTTATCAAGAGACTGATTTCACATTCTGAAAAGTATTAACAAAACAAAGCTGCTCTTTATGTTAACATAGCTAAGAACAGTAACCAGGAACAGTTTCCCTTTCTTTATTTCTCTATTTCTTTAGTTATTGTGAGTTTCACTTCAAGGTTCAGTTTGTAGTCTTCAGTTACATAAATGTGTGACAGGAACACATGACACTGTCACTGCTACATTGCTACGCAGGGTATAATTAAAGCTATTATTTGCACATTAGTGTTCTCAAACTGCTATAATATTCATTAAGAGGCTGTATCACTCATGTGTCATACATACAGCTGTGGTGCGATGTGCGAAGTTACCACTAAAGTGCTGTATGTGCCATGTGACTGTACCCATATCTCTCATTGTCAGCTTCACCATTCTGTTATACTGTGTAAATGTTTTCCTGTTTTTAGTGTTCTGCATGATCATGTGCAGGCTAACAGGAGGTATTTGTTTACAGCAACTCACATGTAAAAATGTTGACCAAAACGCAGTCTCACCACGTGTTCAGCGTGTCAGCTGTTTCACAGTGCAGTTTACTGCGTACCGTACTAGCTGTTCATTTAAAATGTATGTGTCCATTGGAGTGTTAGGGACAATGTTAAAAACAGGGCTGTTTTACTGTAGTGTTGGGTTGATTTTTCTTATTACAGGTTGTCCTTTAGCTAAATTTGCTACTTTAATCATTTTAATTTTCAGCTTACTTGTCCCTAGGGCTGCCACGATTAGTCGACCAGTCACGATTATGTCGACTATCAAAATCGTTGACAACTAATTTAATAGTCGACGCGTTGTTTGAAGCTTTGTAAGATCCCAAAAGACGCAGGAATAAGTAGTAGGATTTAAGAGTGTAATAACGGACTGAAACAGGAGATGCCAGCTTCTGTTAAACCCCGAAGAAGAAGCAGTGTCCCAGAATTCATAGCGCAGCCCAGCTCAGTTTCCAACAATGGCGGCAGCTAGTTAGTTTTAATATTACTCTTATTATTCTTTCTGGGTCACAAAATAAACGTTTAACATGTTTTCAGGCGAGAATGTAGCTGTGTAAACCTCAAATATCTGCTCAGTTTATCAAGACACCACATATTTTCAAAAGCGCTCCGACGTTTTCGGAGACGTCTGTTACCCACCAGCTCGATAGCGAGCCGGGGTTCAAGGCTCACTAGAGCTGGAGAGAACACTGGACTCCCGGCAAATCGTTTTCAAACCCACCGCCGTCTTTCACTACTCAGGTTAAACGTGATATATAATTCACTTAGATAACTTAAAACTGTTATTGTTTGGCTTTTTTCAGTATTTTACTTGTTCCTGAGTAAATCTGTTTGGCTGAGATTTAAAGTTATAGTTTTTTTACACAGCTGAATAAACGTCAAGCAGACAACTGATTATCGGAAGTGTGAGATGCTCGAGAATTTACTCCGGTGTCCCGTTATATTTTAGATAGCAAGGAGCAGACAGCTGAGTTCATTAAACTTCACCGAAACAGTCTGCAAATGTCATTACAATTTAATAAACTATCATCTTATCTTTATTTTTAGTTAGCACCTTAAACACTTAAAGCTGTAAGCTAATGATAGTCATATAAGAGCAGGTGCATGCTGGTTCAATAAGCTGTACGTTTTACGTCCAATGGATGCATGTTCTGATTAGTCGACTAATCAAAATAATCATTTGTGGCAGCCCTACTTGTCACTATCTTGATACATAATGACATGATGCAAAATAAGATGAGATAAACTTTTCCTGACCGAGTAGTATTTGAGCAAGTGTTACCTGATTACAGTAGTCCTCAAAACCCAATCTCAACAAATTTGTTTTCCCTCTGTTTTGTGGTGTAAAATGTGGAAATGTGTCTCTCAAGCACAGCTGGATGACTGCACCGTTTCTTTTAATGTAAAACAACTTAAATGTGTTTGTCTGTTAATATTTGTCGTTGTTGCGCACTAACAATAGACTCTGCAATATACTTGTACTACAAAATCCCATGATGTGTATCTAACTGTCTGAAACATTTCTTTTGTTCAACTAAACTTTATGAACAGACCCCAAGGAGATCATTACTAACATTTCCTGAGCTAAAGTCAAGCTGCACATCCTTTATAAAAGCCGAGCTGTCAGACAAATCATCTTTTGTACCACTGACTCTTCTTTGTTGAAAGCATACTGGTTTTTTTTGTGTTTTTTTTTTTAAGTCTGTGGACCAATATAATTGGCCAACATTAGCCTTTTGCCAATCCATCTGTATTAGCATTTATTACAGCCGATTAACGAAAATGAAAACGTTAATGAAGAAATGGGAGAAAAACCCTTCAGCCATGTTATGAGTGGCACTTTGCAGCTTCCCTGCTGACAACACACCTGTTTTGAACACCACAGACTCTACTCTAGCTGCATAACTAAAAAATAGATAAAAAAGATGGATTAAAAAAAAATACATATTTTAATGTTAAGCATATTAAAATGGATTTGAAAAGGGCAAATTACAAAAGGTCGCTGTACTGCCCTATAAACCTCTAAAGTTCTTAAAAAGAACAAAGAATAAGAGTATGCAACATACTGTTCCCAGAGCAGTAAGTAAATAATGCCCAGAGAGTGAGTGCTCTTGTTGTTACCGGTTAAGGCTCCACGGTTTCATATGTTATTAGTTCTGTAAGTAGGGTAATAATAATGTGGGTAATGTGGACCCACAGCAAAAAGGGGTTTAGTTGATCTCGGTTTAGAACCTTTAGTATCTGTAAATCTTTGGTGCACGATCCAGCTCTGTTCTGCTCTACACCAGTGGACCTAGTTACACTGTTACAGATCTGATTATGCTTCCCTTGTGTTCCAACCTTTTGTTCATTAAAAAGATAAAGGCGCAGTTCAGCAGCACACAAAGGTGTTTTAGAGCCGCCTCGTCTCTTTAGAAATGCTGTGTGGTCATTTTAAAATGCGGCCTCAGCCTCTTCGTTCAGTGTTTTGTTTTTTTCCCCCCAGTGTGCTTAGAGTGCTAGGCTTCAGTGACAGTCTAATCCCTGCTCTTTCTGCACACACAGACCCCCACATTTACACAGACACAGAAAATCCATGCAAGGGGCAGCCTGTATCTGTCACTTTTAACACATACAAGTTTGTTGAATTGATGCAGCAACATCTATTTTGTTTGTCTACAATAATGGCTCTATTAGACAAAAGGTTGATTGCACAGTTCGCCTAATTTCAACTTTTACTCTGTGCGGAATATTTAGAATTCAACCTTAAGATCTGATGTTCAGTTCTCGGTCTCATTTGAGAGTGTTTAGTGTTGAAAACTATAATGACACTGGCGAAAACTAAAATGGGAAAACTGTTGCCGCGACATTGATCTTAAGACAGACTGGCACGCTGTACAGACCTTCCTTCCCGTAGGTAACAGAGCAGCTCGACATTGCTGAAAACAGAACGTCACATGGCCTTTTCAGCTTGACTTTTGGGTTCATTGACTTTGTTGTTGACATTGAGCTCTGGTGAACACAGCGGCGAGTGTTGCCTGTGGTATTTCACTATACAGTGATTTCCACTGTGGGCAGTGCTGTCAGGAGGCAAGCCCCATCCTAAACCAGACAACAGGAATTGAAAACAGACAGGCATTCAAAACAGCATGATAAGAGTATGAATAGTGGCATATAAGCCATGTGGGTATTATTGTATCATTTTACACTAAATAAACGAAAGTTAAACAAAATATAGGAATGTGTTGGTTTTCATTGTGTGTGCACATGTATGTGTTTGTGGTGTTTTGACTCTAAATAACTGTGAAATAATTACTGGTGAGGCCCTGGGAACACTGCTCAATTCATTGGCCGAGTATTGATATCAGCTGATATTAGCTGAACATCCTGTGTGTAACACTTTGAAGGCTGATGCCGGTGTATTTGCAAATAAGATGGCATTTACTGATGGCGGTGGATGATATATATCTGCTGTGTCACATCAATTTTGCACAGGCTAAATGTTCAAAGTGTGGTAAAGAGCTGAAAGGGATGGATGCAGCTCAGGTGGTTGAATAGATTGTCCAGCAGATCGGAAGGTCAGTGGGTTGCTCCTCGGCTCCTCCAGTCTATGTGTCAAACTAGCCTTGGGGAAGATGCTGAAACCCAAGTTGTCCCTGATGCGTCTATCGGCGTGTGTCTCTTTGTGAATGTTCGATAAGTGCTTTTTTGTGCAGATAAATCACCGTATGAATGAAGCTTGTAGTAGAAAGTGCTTTCACTGCAAAGGATTGAGTAGAAAGGGGCTATATAAGTGTCACACCGTATGAGCTTTATGGCTTATAACTCTTTGTGATAGAGTATGAAATGGATTTTTACTCCCGAACCTTATTGTTGAGTTCTTTCTTTTAAATACTGGTTTCAGTGAAACGTTTCATAGTGATGCATCCTTAATTTTTAGGATGTTGATCAGAGAAGAACACTATTGATTATAGATTTATTTATTTTTTCATGTTGGTAAATTGCAAATGACTGGTGTTGGTTTGGTATTCTGCAAATCTTCCATACATGTTTCTAGTGTGATTAGGAATATCTTTTTTTGTGTGTGTGCATGTGTTCAGTCACTTGTAAAAAGATCTGTAATGATTACGTGTTCCTTATTTTTCATATTAGATTCGATTTTTATGTTGTATTCTGTTTGCTTTTCCAATAAGCACTGAAATTTCCAAATAGAATATGTATTGTAGTGTGGGTGTTTTAGGTTGTCAGGGCTGTAATGCAAAGTAATTTCTCAATTTTGTTTTTAATGTGCCTATAGTCGAAGGCCAGCTCTTACATTAAAGCTATCAAATTGACACATTTGTATCTTCTCGGTTTGATTGCATGCGGAATGATTATCACTTCCAAGCTAATTATCTGTAGCCGAGAGCCTAGACGTGTCGTGATGCCAAATAGAGCATCAAATAAAGCACTATATCTCTTACAGTGCAGTCATTTCACACGTTCCATCCTTCCCGACCTTTATTAGATGACAATTTGACTCACCATTGATTATGCTTTAATAAGGATTTCATGAGTCAGTGGAAGTGCTCAAAACGTTTAGACCTCATTTTCAGAAGCAAATTTATTAGACTGAGAAGAAGGCAAATCTCAGTAGTTACTCACCCATCTGTAAAAGCGCCTTTTCTTTAGATAAATGAGTTAGTCACTCGTCACTCGTGTATGTGTATCCATATATCTAGTCACATACTTTCATATCTGAAATTATCAGAAAACATTAATAACATACTGCTGCTTTTTCTAACTAAGCTTTCCCGTCTAACTAACTACTGTACGTAGCTTTCCTTCTAAATGCCGGTAAGACCGGGTCGGTCTGTAATAGTCATTGTTTCGAGGAGTTTCCAGGTGACATCAGATCTGTCCCTTTGCTGCACGGGAATGAACATCCTGTGTGTGTCACGTATGGTCGTCCATCGTGATCCCCTTTTTGTGTTTGTGCACCTTGGGTATGACCGCATGGTTTGAACTGTTTCTAATTGAATGCTTATGTTTTCTTATGTTTTCTTGTTGCATTTCTAACAGACGGTTGCACTGAAAGATGGAACTTGGTGATAAAACATGATCTGGACCGTACAAATGTTATATTGTTGATCACATGGCTCGGTTAGATCGGGGAGTGTTTTTAATGCAGAGTCAGCAGTTTCAGCCCTTACGTGCAGCAGAATCACTGGATCTGTGGAGATATCACTGCTGCAGTATTTTTGATCCCCTTTGGTTTTCATGCCTTGTTCCCACTGGACCACAGCATTGTTCCTATCTTAGTGAATGTAGGACATCTCCGTGGGTCGTGTACTGCTTATTCACGTGGTGTTCTTTCATATGCCACAATTACTGATCCTGTTATGCTTTTCCTTTAAAAATAAGACAGATTTTGTCTTTTAAGAAACATCCTGACCCTGTTCACTGCTGCAGCTGCTGCTTCTGGATATGTCAGGCGCACTTTGCAGGACATTCACTTTAAGCTCTTAGAGAACTTAAAATGTATCAGCAGTGACAGGGTGGGAGTAATTGGTTTGATTCATAAGCCCATGTTGAGATCTCATTATAACAGAGCTTGAACTTCAGAGGACAGACAGGGAAACATATGATAAGGGCTGCCTGCTCATATTCCTGCTCCTCTGAAGGTCACTGGAGATAAATATGTTGGATATAACACAGTGTCTATTTCTGATTAATGACTTGCTTGTCTGCTCTTGGCATGTTGTGCGTTTTGTTTAGATCTGCTTCCAAAGTGCCGGCGAATGAGAAGAAGGAACGACCAGTAAGCACCATGAGTGAGGCCTCTAACTACACGGGCGGCTCGGAGCAAGCTGCAAACCCCAGTAGCCCCGGAGGAAGGGTGAGTGACAGGGGGGCTTACGATTCATGCCTGTTATGTTAGAAAATAATGGGAAAAACAAGTGGATCACATTTTAATGGCTTAAAACATCTAGATGTTTCTTTTCCGTGTGTGTGTTGAGCTTAATTTGATTTAACTTGTAGCCCTCAAGACCTTCTAAAAAAATTCACAACTTCGGGAAACGATCCAACTCCATCAGGAGGAATCCCGGTGCCCCGGTTATCAAGAGAAACTGGCTGTATAAACAGGTGAGTAGGAGTGCACGGCTCCAGGTAATCTTTACTCCAGAAAATGCAATCAGAAATTTAAAGGACAGATCATACAATTTGTTTTCTTCGACGCATGTGTGTATCAATATTTTTAAACCACTGTGGTTATAACTGAAATGTATCAACGTGCGGATGGATTTTTGCAGAAATCTTTTTGGTTATACCCTGACCTTTTGTCTTACACCACCCTGTTAACAATTTGTGTGAAAGTGCAAAATATCAATAAAGTTGATAAACATGGAAAAAATACGTTAAACAGCATGTTAGCATTATTAGTCCGAGCATGCTCACGTCAGGAGCTCCCCTGATTTCTGCTGGATAGTATTATCTTTGGAGTCAGAGGCAAGGAAAAGCTTGGCTATACAAAGGTGATAATATAAAACAGTGTTGGGTCTGTTTCCATTTTTAACTGCAAGTGGTTATGCAGCAGCAGCAGTAGTCTTAAGATGAGCACAATCTGAGCATTTCTTTGTGCATCTCTGTTTTTGCTCATCCAGCAGGGCCACTGTATGAATGCAAACCTCCCTGGTTACTTACAGAAGAGTAAAAAGGGGCCAGACCGGACACCCTTGTGCATCCTAACTGGGAGTTTCATTTAGCGGTGATTGCAGGCACCCTGTGCAGTTTTGTGAGCACACGATGGGCTCCTTTGGTGCAGCTGCCAGCTGCTTTTTTCTTTGGAAACATCAATCAGGGTGACGTAGATCAAGCAAAAGACTCACAAATCTGCTAGCCTGAATAAAAGCTGGATTTGCACTTTTATTTCCCTGCCTCATTGAAAACTGGAAGCCATTGAAGTCCTTGGCTGAGGGGAAGCTGCAGTCCTTCGGTTGGTCCGCTGCTAGAACAAAGTGCCGCAGTGATTGATGTGATAGCGAAAGCCTCCAGAGAGCAAGATTCGACAGAACTTTTTGATAAAGTTTATTTATTCTTCTGCTACTGACATTCAAAAAAGGGGGGGTTAAGACCTGGATTTAATTGAGGAAAGGTGGTGGACACAAGATCTTTAAAACTTGTTACATTTCACATCTACCTCTTTTATGAACATACGGCGCAGCATCTGGTATTTTGAATCTCTCTTGATACTAATGTTTTAACCATTCTGGTTTGTGGAAGTGAATTTCCATTTCAAGTAAACTGCAGCCCACATGCTTTTTGACCATAATGACAGAGTTGTTAAGATCCCCCCTCCTGCTTTTGTCTCCTGGTGGAGGCTACGATTAAGGACTTTGCTCAAGTTTTCCATTAAAGTAAACCAGGGAGTTAATACCCTTTACTTCACCCTTCATCTTTTTCAGGCAGCAGCGTTAAAGGCTTTGAGCTGATACTGAAGAACAACTTAAGCAGAGGAAGTTTGTGTGTGTGTGTGTTGCATTGTCTTTGTTTCATGCCACAAATTAAGTTTCCCCATCTCAGGCCAAAAATAGCTAAATTTGAGAGTCCGAAATTTTGCAGTGCTGATCGGATGACTTCCATAACCCGTCTTCATTTAAGCAAGGGGTTATTTCATAATTTCCAAAGTTCAGAGAGGCATTTTGGATCACAAATGCAAAATGGTGACCTGTCTCAGCTGGAAACCTAGAAAGTCGTACACAATTATGTAATACAACAAAGAAGTGATTGGCTGTTAATCCTTAGAGATGATGTAGCAAACAATTGATCACATGGAAAGGATTGTATCACAGGACTACAGCATGTGCTGAATAGGATAAAAAAAGACAAAGATATTAGAAAAAAATCAAAGCCCCAAACATTTGTGGAGTTAATGTCCTCTATTGCTCTGGTGTCTTTTCAGGACAGTACAGGGATGAAGCTATGGAAGAAGAGGTGGTTTGTCCTTTCTGACCTCTGCCTCTTCTACTACAGAGGTGAGTTCAGTCCTGTCATCTAGCGGCACCGGTTGTCGATTAATAGTTCAAGTGCTTTTGTGATCTTCAACAACAAGCGATGCCTTTTCTCATCATTGTTATGTCTGAGTCCCTGTGATAAAGAACATGTCAGGACCAACTGAGGAGACTTATCAGGTGAAAAAGCTTGCAACATCACCTTTTTTTCCATCAAGCAAAGCCAGGTCCTTACGCAAGACCTGGATGCAGAGTTAAACATTAAAGCATACTAATAGGATTCCACACTTAATGTTAAGTCATGATGAAACAAGATGAAACAAGTTTATTGAATGATTCCTTTTTATGCAAGTCATGTCATCATTCATGCTTTTACATGATAGGAGTCTGAAAGTAGTGTTAGTAGTAGTTACACTCACTTACTGTAGTTTGCATTTTTGTAAAATGTGTGGACATTTCGATGCGATTTATCGATTTTATATAATCTATTATTGATTAAAATGTGATTTTAATGGCTGTTCTCTCATGTTGGACCAATCTTCACATCTAATTTTGACACATCTCTGTTTGGAGAATGTTTAAAGTGTAGACCAAGTGTAAACTAGGTGTGCTGTTTGAAACTGTGAGAAAATACAAGCCTTACCTTTGTACAAGGCTGCACTTCCCAGTGCCGCCGCTTTATGCAGATGTAGTCGTCATTTCTGCTGATCAGGATGACATCCAGTCTGTGTTATTTCTGGTGTCTGCCATTCCCGTCGCCTTCTTTCCACCCACTGACTGACAAAAGCCGCGGACAGCGGCGGACCCAAAGGCTTTATCCAGATGGATATGTTGAGAAACTGTATCCATCAGCAGAGAGTGGGCAGAGAGGTCGTGAACTCTGCTGCTTCATCTGAATACATCCGTTATCTGCTGTTGTAGTTATCACTCTATTTCTGCGCATCAGGATATCCCATGATGAGACTGCTCTGCTGAAGCCTCTGCCTGTTGTGTTTTTTGAAAGAGGCAGTGGCAAAGAGCCCGGTTGGTTGCAGACAGGTGACGCTGTCAAAAATCCATCCGCCCCTCTTTTGAAAATCAGTTAAGCGAGGCAGGTCTCTAACACAACTTCTGAGCAAACAGCTCGACTTCTGATATGTTTGGGAATGTCCAGATTGATGTTACCATATATTTCCCTAAATATTACTCACAATGTTGAACTTTATTCATGATCAGCCTTATTCATTCCATCATCGCCAATATGTGTTAAAAGACTTTGACTCTAATATAATGGTTTTGAGTAACACACATGCAAACTTGCACATAAACCAGACAAAGTCCATGCCTATAAGGGATTGCAGCAGTCACTGTTTTGTTTTCCTGCACTGTTTTGGGTAAGCAGTACAGTTTGCTTTTATGGAATTTGGAGAGTAAGCTACTCTGCTTAAACTTGGGACCCAATCTAATCCCCCCCCATGTGGAGTGTGCACAATTGTCAATGTGGAACCCTGTCTGTTAACTTAATGAGGATTAGAGCAGCCTAGCTGCATACAGAACTGAATCAGTGCTCATCTTTTCCAATGTTTTGACTTGGTATCCTATGTTTATCTGACCAAAACACTGCACAGTTTTTCCTTTCACAGTCCACTTGACTTGCGTCCTGTTTACAAATAACGCTTTAAGATAAGAGTTGACAATATAGTGTGTATGTATGTGTATATATATATATATATATATATATATATACACACACACACACACTGTGTTTTGTTTTTCCTCTGTAGATGAAAAAGAGGAGGGGATTCTCGGCAGTATCCTCCTGCCAAGCTTTCGTATATCCATGTTGTCTGTGGACGATCACATTACCAGAAAATATGCCTTCAAGGTCAGTGCATGTTTTCATTCCTGTCAGACTTTGTTAGGCTGCATATTTTATGGTTTATTACACTTAAAGAAGAAAAGACAGGAATTAGTTTTCTAGAGAAAATGGAAAAACTTGTAGATAAGGCCATAAAAATAAATGTGCAAGTCTCACAGAAGGTACATTTTAAAACTGGTGCTGCAGTGGCTCTTATCGTGATCTCACAATATATGTATGTGTATTTTTAGACATGTTGAGCAGTTTCTAGGTTTTATTTCCTATTTAACACGTTGGTTGTTACTTCAGAAGTTTTGGTTGATTGACAAAGCGAGATGTTTAGTCGCTAATGCTAGCAACTAAAGTACGACTCATATTTCTACACTGACTACTGACAGCAGTGAGGTAGGACTATAGTACTATGATGCTATAAGTTGACTCGCAGGATTCAAGTTTCAGGGCAACGGACTTATAATATGAGATCACAGTGGTGTGTAAAGGATTTGACTGTGGGTTCTTCATAAACCCAAAGAGACAACAAAGTTGTCCTGCCAAGCACAGCCAAACACAGACGCCCAGAAGTCTGCTCAAGGTCTCTCCAACCACACAGCCCACTCCTTTTCCAACTTAGATTCAGGCTGAAAAACCCCCCAAAACAAGACTTAGAAAAGAGAAAAGCATGAAAGCAGGACACAAGCTCTTCAGTTCAGTGATTCACTCAGAAATGGGATGACCTTTTGACTGTATATTTTTCATTCTCAACTTTTCCTGTCTCTTGTTGTGGCCAAAGGTCATATCAGTAAGTGTGTTATTTCTAAAAATTATTGTGAAGCAATTAGAAAAATTATAGTCTTGTCTTTTTTTAAACATTGGAAAACTGCACATTGAGGTTGGTTACGAAGCATTATGTCTCTTCCTGTGTTTGTTTTAACAATATATTGGTTTGTTCACCACGAGGGAACCAAGAGACAACCGACCATGTGTCTGCCATACAATGCACTGAATGGTAAGTATTGTGGCAGATTTACTTCCCTAATCTAGCATGACTTAAGGATTTGATTTATTATCATTAACTGCCGAGAATATCTCACAAGTCAGCACCGACTGCCATTAGTTGCTAAAAAAAAAGTGTGTGTGCGCGTGTGTGTGTGTGTGTGTGTGTGTGCGTGTGCGTGTGTGTGTGTGTGTGTAAAATGCAATATTCTACCCTCCTGTTATTGTGAGGAAACCTTAAAAAACCTAGTCAACCAGTTTTTGTCTTCTCTCTTTCAGGTAACTGTGTGGATAACTCTTCCTGTCCTTGATCCCGTGTACTGTCAAAACAGGCGACACATCCCAACATGAGGACGTACTACTTTTGCACAGACACAGCCAAAGAGATGGAATCTTGGATGAAAGTGATGACAGATGCTGCACTCGTGCAGTCAGAGCCAGTCAAAAGGTTTGTAAGAGCTTTGACAATAAAGTCATGTTTGCTGAGTGGGTGTGTCATTTTTGAATTGCGAGCGCATGGGGGGGGGTTTGAAAAAGCCATTTGAGGACAGTTCTTCAAACTAGTACTAACAGCTGTGCATCACGTGGTTCATTTCTAGACTCTGATTTCTGTTTGTACTGGAAGAGAGTACTTTTAAATTCCCTGTTAAGTTCTTCGGCAACACTTCAACACCCACTTTTGACATCTCTGGTCTCTGGGTTTGTTGAAGAAGCTACGATGTTCTTTCATGTTATGTAACTGTTTCAAGCGCTAAAGTTTATTATGGAGTAACATACATAAGACTGTGGGTGCACTGTGAAGGCATGATGCAGGTGGTTTAAGGGATGATGTGCACAGCTGCGCTGGCTGATCAGGATCACTGACTCATCAGGACAGGGTTTTTTTTTTCCTTCTTCTTTTTTAAACTATGTTAAATATCTGCCATTTGGCAGGCTGCCTGTCTAATGCCCTGCTTTTACATGGGCGAGCAGAAACGTAATAGTAACGAGCAGTGTAATTACACAGAGCAGTAGTGCCTGAAATCCTCTGAAAGTCTCTGCTAAATGGGACCGTGTGATGCTACTATAAGATTATCTTATATAACTACACATTGTTCAAAACAAAAAGGTTCTGTAATTTCATCTTTTTTTTAAATTTACTTCATCGTTTGTTTTGCAGTTGTGTAACTTGAATGCTCGCAGGGCCAAATGTGTGCTCTGCTTGGTTGGTGGAGGCACAGAAAGATGGAGAAGTCATTAAGTGACTAGTGCTGCTATTTGAAACTATACAAGTGGAAACTCTGAAGGAATGCCTTTTCTGCAGCTCTCTTATTGCTAACCCAGTGAGCCATGCTGCTGAGAGGAATTTGCCAAACTTTGAAGTTGTGACCTTATGTCTGTCTAAGGTCAAGGCATAGTGGCATCTATTACCTCTAGATAACTCGCTAGGGAGCACAGAGTGGTATGCAGGTCTTCTAGACAGGAGGCAAAAGAGAGAAGCAAATGGATTACTGGGATCTGAGCATCACTTTTCTGAAGTGTCTCAGCTGAGGTATTGTTTTACTGGAGATATCTGATTTCCTTTTACACGCCTCCCCTTCTCTGGCAGCTGGAAGAGGCATTGTGCACTTTGCTTTAGTTTGAACTGAATTCACAACATTAGTTGTGTAGTATATTGTAGTATAAACCTAAAAATGTGAATCAAACATCGTTTACAGCAATTCCTACCAAATAATTAGTTGGACATGAATCATCTCACCCAGATTTACGTAAGGGTTAATCACATTAAAGACATTTTAGCCTATTGTCTGAGGTTGTAACAGTTTTTACATGAACAACAAAAGGAAGGAACGATGCCTGAATACTTAGGTGCAAACTTCCACATGTGCTTGTATGACATCATCCAAGCAAGACGAACAGCAATGCTTCTCAGCTCAAACGTGGCTAAATTGGAAAAAATACAAACACAACAGAAGACCAAGCCAAATACTGTGTGGAATACAATACAAATGTGGAAACCGTTTATGGATCCATTCAGAAAACTAAAAGGGCACTTTTCAGCATCAGCAGCTACTTTATGCCTCATTGGTTTCATATTCATATCAACAAGCATCAAGTTAACAGTTCATGTAGTAATACAGTCTGTAGGATTAAGTTAACAGTGCTTTCAGAGGGGTTGTAAACAGATTACAAAGGCGGGAAGATAAAACAACACGCCACTCTCAGATTTCACTTGAAGACAAGCGTATCTTAAGTCTGGATAATCCAAAATGTCTATTGAAAGAGTTCCAGTGTTTTGTGATTTTTCAAGCCTGAACCTTCTTGTCTCTTTTAGGTTGGACAAACTAAAAGTGGAGCAGTGTGGACCTCAAGAGATCAACCATGTGGCCAACCATAGAACAGAAACCGAAATCCAGAAGAATGAGCGCAACCGTGAGGTTGACCGTGAGCACGCAGCCGTCTCCCCCACCACAGAAGAAGAGGAGAGAAAGCAGCGAGATGCAGAGCGCTACGGCTTCCAGAAGGATGGGGCCGACCGTGAACGTCCACTCACCAAAATAAACAGTATCAAACTGCAGCCAGCGCAGGCGGCAGCCATCAAGGCTAATATGACCTCGCCGCAGCCTCAGACCGAGGTTGACGGATCACAACACAGCCCCCAAGTTAATGGATCTGGAGAACAGCGTCCAGCTAATGGGACTGGAGTCCCTCCTCTGCAAAGTTCCCCACATGAGCCGGATCGCAGCCTGAGTCGGACCAGCTCGATGCAGCAGCTGGAGCAGTGGGTTCGCACACAGAGAGGACGTGGCCAGGACGACGATACCAGAAGGTTGGTTCAGTGCTATGCCCAAAAAAACCCGTCTTGACATGATACTGTATAAGCTTTAAATGTAATTGTTTGATTATAACATGCGTACACTGCAAGAAGAGAAATGATGCTATTCAGATGGCGCTGTCGTCTGTACAGTAGCACCAGTTATCTTCAGATTACTCCACAAGAGTCAAATCTTAGACTGTTTCCACAACATGAAGTCAGATTTGGCTTTATTGGGTGGAAAGTATGACACTGGTCTCCTCTTAGTTCTAAGTAGTTAAAGTATATTGATGAGGTTTTGATGAGAGGATTTAATAAGCTGGTTCTTGATTCCCATCCCTGGTGTTCACATTTTTGTTAAAAATACATGTTTTAGTCAAGAGATACGTTTGTCATCAGGCTTGTGTTCATATTTGACACAGCTTTGCCTCATTCTGTGGTTATTTGTTTTTTTTTAACAAATAGACATACACACTCGCTTTAGAGTATACCATGGGCAAAACTAATAAGGCCTCAGTAAATATTTTTGTGTTGGCCCTCTGAGGTAAACATTTAATTCTCTCTCCATTAATCTCTTTCAGCTCCTTTTGTCATGACATGCATGTTCTCTAGACGGATGTGTAGCAGTCACAAGCCTTTATTATAACACTGGTATACTGGGATTTAAAGACCAGTGAGTGTTTTAGCCCGGATCTGTCAGGTCTTCTTATTATTAAGCTCTCCGTACTGACTTTGAACTCACTGAGTAAGTGGAACTTCTTAAAGCCTTGCTGTCAATAGTAAGGTCTAATTTGTTTCTGAGTAGGGAATTGCTTTGCGAGATTCTCTAAAGACACACATGTAAACAGATAAAATAAGAATCATCCTTGTTTGATACTTAATTAGAATGATACTCAGCGTGAAGTGCTTTTCAACTACAAAGTTTAAACCAAACCAACAAATGAAAAGATTCATAACATGGCATTGCTTTGATAACTGATGTTTTTGACTGGTTATAATCAAAATAAAAGAAATCCAATGAGATTTTTTTCCAACTATAAACAACTTGTTGCGTCCTTTGAACCTGACAGAGCCTAAAACCACGTTTATCTGGTGATGTGTATGGAATATATGAAGAATAATCAAATTGTTATACCAACACAGATCATTTTAGGTCTGTGTTAGTGTAACACCATGCAGGTCATCTACTATATCATACATGATTAATTATCTGGTTTTTCTTTTACCCCAGCATCACATCGTACCAGACGCTGCCTAGAAATTTGCCAAGCCATCGGGTACCCTACATGCCTCATTATGGAGATGGATATTGCAGTATGCCCAGGAATAGCATGGCACAGCGGGACAGCATCTGCAGCATGTCCCCATCGGTATATGACCAGGCCATGGGTCCTTCAATGACTGAGAAACGCCGCTCCATGCGCGATGACACCATGTGGCAGTTGTACGAATGGCAGCAAAGGCAGGCCTACAGCAGGCAGCCAGGGCTGTACAGCAATATGGCCAGTCCCAAAACCATGATCAACTTGTCAGAGCATGCTGCACCGAGCCACTCCATCCCCCCCTCGCCCTCCCACGGCTCCCTGTCGATGTACGGCGGCTACTCTCCAATGAGATCTTACAACATGGGCAACACTCGCTCTGAAATTTCCTCTCCCATCTTCCGAAGAGACATGACTGTTGAGAGACGGCAGAGGCCACCAGTCAACAAGGTCAGCTAAGAGATGCATAAACAGGAAATGTTCAGTTCATCCTCATAATAACAAAACCGCCTACTATGCAATAGTCTTCAGTCACCCCTTATTTCTTTATATTTTGCTTCCAAGCATCCAGAATAGTTCTCCAGGCTTTCTGAAGGTCTATCACGTTTTTTTCTTTGGACACTGGCTGCTTTTTCAATCATTTTCAGTCCAATCCTTATACTTGACCATTTTCAAAGGAGTGGGGGTTTTTTTTTTTGTTCATCAAGCCATTTAACACTGAAAAATGCACCTAATGCCAGAACCAGTTACCAATGTTGTGTCTACAGATAGCAGACAACTTAGCAAAAAGTCTATTTTAAAGGTATCGTTAACAGCTTGTTGCAAAAAATAAAAGAAATAAAAGAAATGGCAGGCCTAAAAGTAAGATCTACAGCAAAGGAACACAATCTGAAGCCTCATCAGAAATGGTCTCAATGGAAGAGTGGCTGTAAGAAGCCATTCTTAACAAAGAGCAATGAGGAGAAAAGTTTCAGGTATTTTAAATGACAATAGAGCTGGACTGAAAGTCAGTAGCAGCAGGTCTTATGGAGTGATGATCATTAGTATGGAGGAGATCAGGGGAGATGTAAAACATTATGAATGCAGAAAAGTACTGTCAGGTTTTGATCCACTGTGGACAACAGCCAAAGAAGAGCATTGAATGTCCTTCAAGAAGCCTGGAGAACTATTCCTGAAGACAACATACAGAAATTAAAGAAAGCTTGACTAAGAGAGTTCAGGCTGTGCTGAAGAATAAATGAGGTCATACCAAATACTGATCTTCAAACTCATCAGAATTGTCAAAACCCTGTTTGTGCCTACTTTAGTTCCCAAAGTTCAAAAGTGAGGTCATGTGTTTCATTTGTTTTTAAGCAGCGCAAACAAAATTACATTCAGCTTTGAGCATATTTATAGTGACAGAAATATGAGAGGGATATATACAAAAATATGCATCAAGGGTAGCAAATGTTTCTTTGTACTTGGATGAACCCCGTGGCTATGGCTGACTATTATATCAAAGATATTTAATGTTGCACATGACAGGCCTTTTTTCATATTAAATCTGTGTTCTGCAGTATGCTTACCTGCCTGATAGGAGGTCTATGCCAGCAGGGATCCCAATCCAGACCATCACTGCCCAGTCTTTACAAGGCAAAACAGTAAGTCTTGGTCTATGTCAGTCTTCTGGCTACCTAGATTTATATCACTGTGCTGTTCAGCTGAGATACTTCATGCTTGGTTTCTGTACACCTATACAGTCTGGGTTTAACTGGATGTCTTTCAAGGACAATGCTGTTTTCTGATGATGCCACCTACTCTACCCTTCTCCCTCTTTCTGTCCTTCATATCCCTCTAAGACATTGTGACAGAACTCTTTCGAGACAGGTTTAGGCAGATCTGTGTTCCAAGGATTTAGGGTGTGTTCACTTCAGGAGCTCCTTAGACTCTCTTCAGTTCAGTGGAGACTTAAAAACCCTGTCACTCAAACTCTCTAAGCCAGGATCAAGAATTTATGTCAGAGCTGCACACAGTTCTCTGTACTCATTGAGCTTGTAAAGTGTGAAGTCAATTCTGTAATGAGTGCCAACTGTTCTGCTGTTTTGAGTGGACATAAAAGAATGTGCATGCTGCTAGCTAACATGGTACTAAATTGCATGAAACGCAAGACTAGAATGCAGCAACTGTTCACCTACTGGGATCCTGGTACCTCTAAATCTCCTATCCTGGTGTGCTCTCTCTCCTTTCTTCTCACCCCCAATCCCTGCCTCACCCCTGCGGTGTGTCCCTGTTTCACTGTGGCGATGCATCCCCCCCCGCCTCCTCCTCTTCCTCCCTCCTCCTTGCAGCCTGAGGAACTGACTTTGCTGCTGATAAAGCTGCGTCGGCAGCAGGCAGAGCTAAACAGTATCCGGGAGCACACTGTAGCACAGCTTATGCAACTAAACATGGATGGCGACAACCCAAAGGTCAGGCCCCCAGGGACATCTCTGCAGGCGTGTATGTTAGCGTGTGGTGTGTATGCCATCTTTATCCACTTCCATTATCCATCTCGATCCGGAGGATTTGTTTGGTCTTCACACATGGCTGATTTAAGAAGGAATTTTCTTCTAACATGACTATGCGTAATGGCTTCATGTTTTTTGTGGACCAGCTACCTTCTCATCAAAATGTGTGGAAATAAAACACTCTTCTTCCAGTTTCAAAATAATTTTGCAACCAGCATCTGACTTAAATCAGTGCATCAGATAATTAGATTTGGGCCATTTTAGCAGGGCAAGCAGCTGATTGAGTCATTTATCCCCCTAAAGAATATAGACAGATGTTATCCGCAGATGAAACTTAAAGCCATTGGCGAGCTTAAAGAGTGACCAACTAATGAGGCTAAGGCCACTGGCATATGTAAAAGTTAATTCAGGATTTTGGGACTTTAAGTCTCCAGACTTAATGCCAGACTGCAGATTTTACCATTAATGATGTAGGTCAACCAGGACTGTTGAAGATTTTTCCATTTTACGGTGTTTTTGTTGTTGCTTTTCTTAATCTACTACTGTGCAGTTAATGCGAGTTTTCCTTGTAGCTATACAAGTTGCCCTGCTTCATTAGGGCAACCTGCTTCATTAGTTTATGTTTGCGTCAGCGGACACACACCACGTTGTGTGGTACTTTGACTTGCCATTGTCTTTGTTTTTTGCATGCACTCGGTCAAGACTAGTCCTGCAGTGTACTCATTCTGTTACCTTTGAAAGTACACCTGGTACCTGACCTGTTTTCTTCACCTTGATTGGTCCTGCTTTCCTTTCTCTCGGGTTATCTTTGGGTACATGACATGCTTGTGTGATTGTGGATGTAAGAGAGAGTGTGACAGAGAGAGCATCAGTGAAAGAATGTGACTTGCCCTTTCTTTTGTCTCACTGTCCTTTTGCCTTTTCTTTGCTCTCTTTTTGCTGCTGATGATAGAACGACATTCTTTCTCACCACCTCCAAAGGAACCTCATGTATTTGGACAATCAGGTGGGGTAATGCATGAATGCATGCCCTGTCTTCTTCTGTCATGACCTCATTTAATGCCTCTGCTTTTATTGTATTAATCCCTGCTCTGCGGCTGTTTTAGTGATTTGCAATCCCAATGCCAGGCTAACTTGTTATCTTTTATTGTGATTTTAAATGGCTAAAAGTTCAGATCGCAGCATTTTTAGCTCACGCTAGTTCATTTACTCACACATTATCCAAATAACTGATCATGACTGTGGACAGTCGTTATTTCTGCCATATAAAGAACACGTAGAGATGAAGGTATCATATTTAACGTCTAAGTGTTTGCAAAGGAATATTAAAGCTTCATCTGCTTTTTTTTTTAACGATCTTAAGTGCTTTGTGAGTTTTAATTGCTTTGTATATAGCACACAAAGGTCCAGTAAAACCTTTCTAATAATTATAGCAAAAGGAAGCCTTAGATTTGTGTAACCGCTGAGAAATAAGTAATTTTAATTTCCTTGACTTGGACTGATGAGCCTTAGCATTTGTGATTTCTTGCACCTCTTGTAAACGCAGTTCTTTTTACATTCCTACACATCAGCGTTTAATGGGAACTTTTCACTGCTAATAAAAATGAACCTTAGAGCTTTGTACTTCCGTGTCTTCCTGCTCCTGCTCCTGAGCGTCTTCTCTCTGTTGCTGTTAACCATCCCTGTCGTCTCTGGATGCACGTTTCTGTGTGAGTCTACCTCATCCGAGAGCGAGAAAGCGAGAGCGAGTGAGGTGTAATCACACTGTGGGTGTTGTCTCAGAAATGAAAAGCTGCTGTAAACTTTCTGACACTTGCTATATCGCTCCTCTCCACACTGGACTAGATGAAGGAAAATGAGCCTTTAATCGTCATGACTCACACTTTGATTGAGAACTCTGCCCCAAGGCCTCAACTTTACCAGCAAGTAAGGCCAGCCTAAGGCTTTGCTCCACCTCATCCTCACCAGTCGCTGTTGTTCTTTTTGGTCTGTTTTGCAATGCTCCTCCTTCGATGTCCAAGTCCTCACGGCATCTTGAGACTGGTCTCCCTGTATCGTTTGTATTGCTAGCACCTCTTCATCCATTGCTTATGACTGTTCCCTCTTATTATTGAGAAGTCATGCTGATGCAGGCATGACTTTTAAGACTTGGAGAATGTATGAATGCTCCACTGTTGGGTTAAATCTCTTCCTCACTGTGGTGTTTGAATTTATTTGTTTATTTATTTATTTTTCAATAATCCTGCGCAGAATGTGTTCCCTCTCATTACCCGAGCCACCTGAACTTAACAAGATGACTCTAATTAATTTGACTTAATTACATGTTGCTAGTCTTATTGCTTGTCAGTCTAGTTTATTGCCAAATAATTCATGTTTTTGTGGAAAACGGACCCAATTAAGGGCCAGCAGAAGAGCGATCATTAGAGTAAAATGGCATAAATAGATTTTCATGTTTATCATCTATGACGCATGAATATTCTGCTATAGTTAAAGAGAAAAGTATGTATGCGATCTCAGCATCCCATTTAGAATTTATGTTCAGCCTGCCTTTTCTTGATTTTTTTTTTTTTTGTTTCCGCCTGTGCAAGTTAGCCAGACATTTTTCAGACGTAGGGATTAGCTTAATAACCTTAAGCACCACAGCTTCAATCACTGAATCGACTCTATATCTAAAGTCTGAGGTGGCGATACTGACGAAGATGAATCCTCATATTTTTTAAATTTAGATTAGCACTTATTTATCTGTCTTCATTACTTCCCCTTCACCCCCACTGGTCATTCTGCTGATGGAAAGGATAAAGGGGCCGGCTTGTGTGTGCCGATGGCTATGACATCACATTGCCACTTTTGAGACGCCCCTCGAGGTGTAAAAGTGTTGCTGAGACTCACCCCGTCACTCATTCACTAGCATACCGCCACCTCAACAGCTGCATTCCCACCTGTTCAGCTGACAAAAATCTGTCTTCCTCCTCCTCCTCCCTACGTCTCTTGTATATTAGTCCACGCCACACAAAACCCACAGTGAAGCTCTTCAAGCTGTGGGAGAGTCTGCATGTTCTGTGTGGAATGCCATGTGGTTCTTAAGCCCCACCTGCTTTTAGCTTTACTATGTTCAGCTGCAAAAAAAAAAAAAAAAAAGGTGTTTGTGAGAGAGTGCAGGCGTGGATGTTGATTCAGAAAGTATTTGGACAGTAAGTCACTTTTTTTGTTGCTGTTTTGCTATTTTTGGGCACATTTGATTTGAAATTCAATCATGTCTTTGAGGTTAAAGTGCTAGGTGGTGAATCTAAACCTTTTCAGTTATATCAACCGAGGATTTGGTTTTTTTTTTTATAAGGGCCTGACAGGTATTTTATCTGATATGTGATATATTTGTTTGCTGAAAACCAGACTGAAAGCTTAAAACCAGCAATAAGGAAATGGCTCCAGTCGAGTTCTGGCAGAGTGTCTCAAGTGAATATACAGAGGATGTGCTGTGTCTGTAGGTTGTACACTTTCCAGGAAGGGAATTAAATCTTACACTTGGCACTTTGAGCCTATAGTCATTGAGTCATTTCATATCAAATGTGACTAAAAACACAAAATAACACAGAAATATGTCACTGTCCTGATGTCTGTGGTGTGTACTTATAATATTATAGGTTTAGCAGAGTGGGTGAATGACTATGTGATCTGTTGATTTTTCTGGAAACATGGGATCCAATGCAGCTGCAATGATTTTCTTTGTTTGAGAAGTAGCTGAATGATATCAAGTGGAAACATGGATGACTTTTGGAGTTTTCTGACTAAACACTGACGTTGTAAAATTAATGTAGAAACCATAACCGTACACTTAGGCACTGAACAAAAGTAACAGGGCGCTTTGGCATGCACACGTACACACACAGTCTCTCATTAGTTAACCCCAGATTATGCTGTAGAATACATGATTGGTGGACAAAGCTTATGCGCTAACTTCAGAGTGAAGTAAGCCAGATTGTTTTGTATGTTTTTCCATAAAACCATTGTGCTGATGGAGACAATGACTGTGCATGATGAAACACGAGGCGCAAGAATCAACAGCAGAGACTCTGTTTAGACTGGCCGAGGTCCCACTGCTGGTTTGGTAATGCAGATCGTCTGATTTAGTGAAATATGAGTTCCTTCTGAAGGATAAATCCTGCGGCTCAGTGAGAGAGCTTGGTCTTGACACTGCATTAGATCTCCAGATTCTAATGTGTATGCACAGATTTAGTGCCCCTGTCTAATGCTGTCTCTCTCAACAGATGAGTCCAGAGAACTACAGGGAACAAGCCTATACATGCATGCCAGAAGAAGTGGACACTGATGTAAGTTCAGTGCTGCAGACTTGCATGACATAATGTTCCTTTTAGCTGTACACAGCAGGTCATGACTCGTTATTGGTTTCTCTTCAGACTAAACTTAGCATGCTGTGTGAGCAGGACAAAATGGTCAGGATACAGGAGGAAAAACTGCAGCAGCTGTACAGAGAGAAGGTGACTAATACTGCATTTGTCGTCATGTTCACGCAAAACATTGTCTAAACATGCTTACAAAGATTTGGTATCATGTGCAAAAAATGTAAATTTGAAGGAATGCACAGTTTGCAGTTCCTAAGAGTAAAGTTTCTAAGCATGAAACAGAGCAAGTTAGGAGACAAAGTCTGTAACTATAACTAACTATAGCCTGTAAGTATAACTACCATCATCAGATGGAAAGACTTGTCTGGTTTGCATTGCTTTGTCATATTCAGCAAATCTCACTGACTGTTTTATGTTACTAGTTGATGTGCAGTGATTGTAGGTATAAAGAAAAAATATAAAATCATTTCTAGTCAATTTTGAGTCACAGCTGTGCCCTTTGAACTTTGGATAAGACAATTAAGTAGTTTGAAATGCTTTCTTTAGGCTCTGAGAGGGGCTGATGGGCATTTGTGATTATTTTGACATTTTAAAGATGGGATAACCTCCTGTTTAGTGAAAAAACAGCTCAAAACAGTGATGTACAGGAAATATTTAAAAATAATCTACTATTCTGAAATAGTCTTACTGAAGTTTTAATGATGACTGTTGTGCTCTGTGTATTTGACATGATGCGTGTTGCTTCAGCACACTCTGGAGACAGCACTTCTGTCAGCTAGCCAGGAGATAGAGTTGGGCTCCGACAACCCGGCTGCCATGCAGAGTGTCGTGCAGCAGAGAGACTTGCTGCAGAGCGGCCTCCTCAGCACTTGCAGAGAGGTGTCCAGAGTTACTGCCGTAAGTAATACAGTGCATTCACACTCCAGGGTTTTGTTTTTCAGGAGTATTAATAATATGGTCATTTTTCTTTGTTTGTTGTATAATTGTTGTTTCTATCCTCCCCAGGAGGTGGAGCGGTTATGGAGGGAATATGACAGGATGGAAGGAGATGTGACTATGGCTAAGAACAACCTGCTGGAGCAGCTAGAAGCACTGGGAAGCCCTCAGGTAGGAACATTTTTGACAGTGAGTCTGCTCAACTTCTTCTCTCTAAAGGCCATTAAACTCTGAGCATGTTGGGGAAAAAACAGCACAAAATTGGGCATAGTTTGGAAATGATCTTGTAATGTGTAACATATATATACACACACTGACCAATCGGTCCTCAAGAATCACACTGTGGGGAAAAGAATGAAGCAAAAATCAGGCGATGATGAGCTGGTTCTGGTGTTTTGAAACAAGAAAAGGAAGAAACTGAAATTCTGGATTCAGCCAAATCTCAAGAGAAGGCAGCAGCAGGGAGAGTTTCATGGTTTGATCCAGGAGTTGAAGCTGCATCGCGGCTGCTTTCGTACATATTTCAGGATGTCAGCAGGGCAGTTTGAACTCTTGTTGGCAGAGTCGGCACCACATCTGAAGAGACAGAGAAACTATTTCAGAGAGCCAATAGCAATGACTAGCTGTGTGTCTGAAGTTAAATGGTATCATTTTACTATTTCAGAAGCATCGTATCTTCAGTACCGGTGTGCGTTTTGAGCTACTTTGTTGCCAAATGCAGTGGTCAGATTGGTCAGATCGGTTTATTTGCAGGTAAAAAATCTGAAAAATCTATTTAAAAAATACAAAGTCAACAACTTCGTCCTGTGAGATTATACAGTCAGTGTGAACAGCTGCGTTAAGCATCGATGAGTCTGGAAAATATTTTTAACACACAAATTTTTCGCTTCCATGTGAAAAGACCTTAACTCTAACTCGACATTAAGTGTGTAGAAATATGCTGATAATTTTGTAAACAATCCAGCACTGACACATTTGATGTTTAGTTTGCCATGGCTAAGCATTTCAGTAAGTACTGTATACTCACTATACAACTCGCTTCTCACGCTGAACCCGTTAGGTTAGACCGAGTCACTCACGCAGGAAGAGTTCGGCTGTTGCTATGTGATTGAATGATGGGTGCAGATGGATGAAGTGCTGGGGACTTGATTCTTAATTTAATTACCGATTTGGCAAAAGAAGATGTCCCACAGTGCTCTAGGCTAGCAGTAGCAGCTGTGCCTTTCATCTTGACCCAAAGTTGTGTTTACAGAAGTGCTCTTGTTCTGGTTGAGTCACTGTAGTTTTGGTTCTCTGGTTTAGCGTCATGATTTTTTTTTGTTGCCTGATAGGGTTTTTTTTAACGAAGCGCGCTCTCAGTAGCTATCATGATATCATCATTCTTGTGAATTCCTTTTGGCTAAAGTAATGGTGTAGTGAAAATCTGATACTGCGGCTGACCTGCTTGGCATACTTGCAGATTCATACACTGCAGAGAAATCTGTAAACCTACTCAACCTTTTTGCAGACACGTTTTCTGGACTTTGGGAGAAAAATATGGAGAGAAGTAAATGGAGATCAAAGCAACACAGGGGGTGATTGATGACCGTTGCAAGGATGGAGCAGGTCTTAATTAAGTTTGTCTTTTATCTTCTCTTTCATCAAGGAAGAGGTGCAGAGACAAAAAGAAATTGTTCTAGCAGTTATTCCTGGCTTGTACTGAGTAATGATAATTTAGAATAGAGAAGTCAGAGGGCCAGCAGGGAGTCTGGACATCCTCTTCTTAAGTCCATCTCACAAAGACCAACCTGCCAACAGCGAGGGGGAGATAATTACCTGTCTTTTTTTCTTCCCCTTTTCCAATCCTAATCTCTCCTCTGATTATCGTGTTGTGAGGCTAGTATCTCTCGCAGACAGTTGGAGCCTGATCAGATCTGTGTCTCCGCTGACTGCACACCTTAGCAGATACAGACATTACCCTTTTACTGTTCTTTTGCGATGCCATCATGCTAATTTTTTTCACTTCAGCTTTCTGTCTGCCTTCTGTGTGTTAGTTTTATTTGCTATAGACCTCCACCTTAGATCTCAGTCTGCAGGTGTTTTTTTTGTTGTTGTTGTTGTCATTTGTTGACGTGCGTCTGTTTTCTGTGCACACCCAGACAGAACCACCCAGCCAGCAGCATGTCCGCATCCAGAAGGAGCTGTGGAGGATTCAAGATGTGATGGAGGCCCTGAATAAACACAAAGCCCAGAGAAATGCTCTTGATGGGATGGGTTTCTATGGGCCCAAAGCCAACTTCAGTAAGCACAAAAATGAGGTGAGGCACCACTTGTAGAAAAAGAAAACTGAACACCTGGTCTGACAGGATGCTGAAACAATAAGGCATTTTAAATCATCATTTACTGTTCCTAGCTTTTCAAATGTGAGAAAGAGTTTTTCTTTTTTTTCCTGCCTAAGGCTTCAGTCACACAGGCCTAGAAACTGATTAGCAACCATCTGGCAATTACTGGTTGTGAGGCAAAAAAAGTGTATTACCTGACCGGTCATGAGTGATTGGAGGCAATTGGTGTGAAATTAATTGCTAAAGTCCCAGTCAAACAGACCTGGAGACTAGCCAGTGACCTTACTGGCAGTCACCAGTGTGAAGGTGGTGTCAAAGAGGTATATAGTTTGGTTGTTAGTAGGTTGCCTGTAGTTTGTAAGGAAGATGCCGACTTGGCTGCAAAAACAAACTACATGCCAAGCAGTACTGAAACAAAGACCATTTCCCTTTAAAGTAAAAGTTCCGCCATTTGAAATGCATGCATGTTGTGCAGCACTCTTTCAAGTTTCACCTCAGTTGAAAATATCTAGCGTTTGCAAACCAGTTGGCATCTTTCCTGCGAAATGCCACTACAATCCAAGTTTTTTTGTGTAGTGTTCTCTTTGTAATCGTTTTCACGTGACCACAGTCGGCAATCGGCGGTTGTTTAGGAGTTGCTGACTAGTCTCTAGGCCTGTGTAAGGCTTTGGACAGGTGGTTGTCATTACAAGCAAATTAAAGATGTGAGCTTAACGGTAATTTTTTCACCTTTTATTGGAGTTAATTAATGGGGAAAATTGATCATAAAAAAATAAACCCACATCACCAGCAGTTTTGAAGATGATAATCGACGTAAGCTGAAGGCTCTAAATGCCCACCCCACTCATGGATGGTGTGAGTAGTGGTGTCTGGAGGAATGTGTCACTCAAGCCATAACAGCATCTGGAGCGCTCTCTCTGGCTAATCAACTGTTTAGCCCATCCTGTGGCCCAGAGCTACTCTATACCAGATGGCTGTAGCCCTGAGCCTGTATGGTGGCGCCATGTGTCACCTTGCTTCCTGTGCTGTCATACCCAATATAATCCCCAGGAGGAGGACTCTGTACCCCCACGGCCACCCCTACCCCAGTCTTACGAGCCCAACCCCCCCACCGTGCCCCCTATGCCGTCTCATCCCGGCGTGCGCCCTTCATCACTCCACAAGCCAGAGGACAGGAAGGCCAATCACAGGAATAGCACGCACAGCGTAAGCCTGTTGACCTCTTGGTTGACCCTGCCCTCAGCTGTATCATCCCATGTCCATGATGATGAGTTCACTTTGATTTCCATAAATATCTCGTGTCTGTTGCATTTTTTTTTTCCATTTGTTCCCGTCATTGTACAGCATAATTTACTTTTCAGTTATTTGGTTGAAGTCCAGCTTGTGTTTTTATTTTTGTTTTGTTTTTTTAAATTTTGTTTTTGACTAAATTACCACATCCCCCTTTTCTGTCTCATCCTTTATGTTGAAATGTAATATTTTTTTGGGTCTGTTTGTTTCGCCATATCGAAGTTTGAATGTGTCTGCCTACCTTTTGTCTGAGTATTTCACACATTTAAATTTAAGGTGGCTCAGTCTGCAGGGTTTTTCCTGTTTTCCGAGCAGGGATTTTGGAGATGAATTAGTGCAGTCGCCTCATGTGCAGTACAGGCAAACCGTTTTTATTGCTTAAATCTATTTGTTTTCATGTTATTTCTGAGGCGTCGATAAACTATAAGTTTATTATGTATGAGTAAATGAAACTACATTTAACAAATACGATTAAAAGAAAATATTTCTATTACAGTGCTTGTTATTTTCCTCTGTAGGGGGCACGAAAACGTCTCAAAGCAGAAAAAACCCTGGTCAATGAAGAATTTTATTTTATTTTTTCATCTTAAGTCATTCTGTAAGAGATAATGACACGCTGAGTTATGCAGAGTTTGTTTACAAACTGACTACATTTCAGAGTTTTTCTCATTTGTGTTGACCTCTTTTTTTTTTTTCATTTTTCTTTTTTTTAACCCCCCAATTTCTCGTCTACAGGGTCCTGACTACAGACTGTACAAAAGTGAGCCAGAACTCACCACAGTGGCCGAAGTGGATGAGAATAATGGAGAAGACAGATCTGAATATCCATCTGATAGAGAACATGTTGGAAATAAAGGTACTTTGGAGAGATACTGGTGCAGTTTCGCAGTGAAGCCTAGTGTATAAAAATACAATAGAGTGGTCATTTTAGTCTGTATAAAACTGGAGCTTTTTATCATGGGACTAACAAAGTCTACACATTGTGATCGCTCCCTTTTAGAGTATTTGAGGGCTCTCTAGTGGAAACATTTACACGCTCAGAAGGTGAACAGCATATGGAGTGCACTATGCTGTAAATATGGAGTGATTTCTGACACAAACCTTGTCTCTAACACAATTTGAGTTGGCATTTGGATTATTTGGATCTAGGTCAGTATATCACAAAGTAACTCTCATGGCAACCATAATTTTGCTGGTTACCATGGATACAGTGAGATTTGCACCTGCATGCATCTTTTTAAACTTGGCCAAAACATGTGAGCTATAATATTTGTTTACTGTATTTAAACTTTCTGCCACCAAACATGTGATGTGAATAGATGAGCTGAATTTACCACAAAAGGGAAATTGATCTACATTTATTGAAGAGCTTGCAGGTCTTTTTTTTGTTGGATGGAAAGTGTTAATTAAAATACCAACTGTAATTGACCCTATCTAATTTTTTACTATAATGTGATTTCAGTTTGACCTTTTATTGATCTCTTGTCTTCTTTTCTGTGGGTAGGTATGTCCTATCCAGTTGGTATCGTCCCACCAAGGACCAAATCTCCAGTGCCTGATTCCTCCTCCATAGCTTCATATGTTACATTAAGAAAGAGCAGGAAGCCTGACCCTAGAACGGTGAGACCTTGGGCTTTAATAATAACTAAAATGTTCTTAGCATTTGTAGATTTGGATCTATCGGACAATAGAAAAACAAACGAAATACAGTCACGATCAGGACTATAGTCAAAAAAAGACTGGTATATATATCTGCAGTTATTTAGATTTGGTAGTATGGCTTTCTGACCTTCCTGCGTTCCTATATACATACTTGGACGAAGGCCCAGGCAAAGGGGAAACGAGCAGGAATTAAGTCAGATACAGCAGCGGTCCCCAACCCCCGGGTCACGGACCGGTACCAATCCGTGAGTCGTTTGGTACCGGGCCACGATAGTTGAGGCTTGTGTGTGAAATTTATGGGGTTTTTTAGGGTTTTTATCATTATTTTTTTTATGGTTTTTATCGTTAACTCAGTTTCCCTAGGTCTTTTCCCGTGTGTTATGAATAAATCTTCTTTTATTTTTTTGTACCATTACTGGTTTTATTTTGTTGTATTTATCCACAACACCTTAAAGGCCGGTCCATGAAAATTTTGTCGGACATAAAGCGGTCCGTGGCGCAAAAAAGGTTGGGGACCGCTGAGATACAGCAAGAAAGTTGGAGCTCAGCTAGAAGTGGGTTGTAAGGCAGCTTGCAGGTGTGCAGCAACTATGGCCAGGCTAAAGTAGCTTAATTGTTTGTGCTATCTGCAGATTGCCAGTTGTGTAGAGGAGTATCAGCTGAGCCCTTAGTTGATGTAGCCCGGTACTGTGTTTGGCTTGCCTTGATCATTTTTTGGCTTTGTGGTCCGCCTGAATTAACGCTTTCTCAATTAATAATGATTATGGGCAGCTGTGAACTAACCACAGTTAATTTTGAATTGTGATTACTCCTCTCCTAATTGGTTGTTTTGCTTGTAAGCTGCTGGTTGAAAACTCACATGTGCAGTAAAGGCCAGCTGTCACATGGTGAGGGTGTGACTCATGCTGCCATAAAGTAGATGCCAAACTGTATTTAAACAGTTTCCAGCCACGAATCCTATCAACTTAAACACACTAACCATATCATTAGTGCACCACACTGCAGGGTGTGTCCTGCTTTTGCTGCGCCTGTGTAACTTTGACCGTTAATGGACATGTAGTACAAATGAAAATAGATAAACGCACAATATTTCTCTAGGCTTATGTGCTTTAGCACTTGGTGCTAAGAGAGCATGCCTAAGGCGTAAGAGTTCAACTTTAGATCCTGGGAGAAATAACAAATGAGTTTCAGTGGACTCGTCTCTGTGCTTGTCCTGTTAGACCTCAGTGCGGCATTCAGTACTGTTGACCATAATATTTTATTACAGAGATGTATAGTAGAGGTCTGCATTCCCGCGGCTGTCCCGCGGGAGCCGCGGGACCCGACCAGATTTCTTGCGGCGCGGGAATAAATTTCCAAATAAAATGCGGTAGCGGTCGGTAACTCTGGTGTAATTTGAACGGGAGCGGGCGGTCTGAAAATATAGCGTGCCCGACATTTTTTCGGAACAGCATATCTGTGATTTCCTCATTCTAATTGAGCACTGGTACAGCCAGTGCTCACGCCTGTTACACGCACTGAGCGCATGGATCAGTGCTTTTTGCACGTGCATTTTACTTGCACAGTCTGTGACTCTGTGCGCGCATCACCTGCATCAGAGCGCGCTTTACCAACATGGCAGAGCAAACTGAAGATGCAATTTCCTTGAAGGACGTTCAGCTGGGATTAGACAACGGTCAGTTTACTTTAAGGAAACCCACATCAGGCAAGTCTGATGTATGGGAGTCTTTTTCATGCGTCATAGACGCAAATGGAAAAAAATTACCCTTTGTACAATGCGATAAATGCCTCAAAGTTTTACCCTTTTGCAGTCACAAGACTGGAACTTCAGGTTTAAGGCGGCACTCATGTCCCATCACAAAGGGGCAAACAAAACTGGCATTTACTAAATCTTTGCTGGTGCCAGAGAAGTTTAAAAAAGAAACCAGAGACAAATGTGTTCAGTTTGTTTGCCAAGACATTCGACCGTATGATACCATCTCTGGAAAAGGCTTCACACAGCTGGCCCAACATTTGGTCGACACAGCAGCAAGAATAGGAAAATTCGATGTCTGTGAGATACTACCACACCCCACAACGGTGTCAAGAAATGTTGAAATGAGGGCTCAGAGTCTACGTAAACATGTTGTGGAGGAAATCACTGCAACAATATCGAAGTTTGGATGCGCTGTTACAGCAGACATATGGACAGAAACATATCGAAAAACGTCCTTTTTGTCTGCAACCATCCATTACGTTAATGAGCAATCTGAGCTACATTCAAGAGTGCTTTTTGCTGCCCCTTTTGACCCAAGCACCTCAAAGACAGGTGAAAACATTCGAAAGCACCTGCTGCAGAATCTCAGAGTGTTTGGCATTGATGCGACAGACATGGGCAAAAAGATTATTTTTGTCACAGATCGTGGAGCCAACATGATCAGTGCCTTACGAGAATACACAAGGCTAAACTGCACAGCGCACATACTAAACGTGACTCTCTCCAGTGCGTTTGGTACTGCCATAATCGAAAAGTCTCCAGAGATCGCTAGCCTTCTGACTGATGTTAAAAAGTTGGTTACATATTTCAAACACTCAGGACAGCAGGGCAAGCTTAAAAAGTCACTGAAACAATCCATAGAGACACGATGGAACTCTAACTTTGACATGTTAAATTCTGTCTTGGAACAGTACGAAGACATTGCATCTGTGCTGACTGAGAGCAATAATTATGACAAGATCGGACGCATTAGCATCAGTACTCTTAAGTTACTAGTATCATTCCTAAAACCCTTCAAAGAGGCAACTGACGACTTGGAAACTGATAACACAGCTCCCAGTGCCTCACTTGTTCTTCCGTGGTCTGTGCGATTAATTGAGCACTGTACATCAGCCACAAAAGACCCTCTGCTCTCTGAAATTGCAACCGTCTGTGTAACACGGCTGAAAGAATTACTGTCAGCAGACAGCACTTCATCCCATTCTGTTCACATGCTTTATAAAATAGCAACCTTTCTGACACCAAATCTGCGAGGTCTGAGAATGTTAGATGAAAGAGGGCGACAGAATGTGATACAGGGAGTCAAGGAGATGATCGAAGATTTAAAGTTTGATCATGCACATGATGAGGATGTTGAACCAACACCTGCCAAAAGGCCTACTGTTCTTCATAAATTTTCAGATTGGGAGGAAGAGGAAGAATCATGTGGATCAAAATCACTAGATGTTCAGATTCAGGAGTACAGGACCATGAAACTTGAATTATCAAGTCAACAAAACATTTTGCAGTGGTGGAATTCCAACAGTTCCCAGTTCCCTGCCCTGAGCAACCTTGCAAGATTTGTCCTCTGCATCCCGGCAACGAGTGCACCTTCCGAGAGAGCATTCAGCCTTTGTGGTCGGATTTTGGAGGAGAGACGTTCAGTACTGAAACCCTCATCAGTCAGTGACATTCTTTTCCTGCATGGAAATTTAAAATAATTTGGATTTTTTAAGTAAGTTTCGTTCATTTGATTAATAGTTTATAATTTTGAGATGTCGTTTATTGTTGTATTTATATATGCATATTTTCTTTTGTAGGAGAGACCTTGAATTCGACATTGGGACATTTTTTCGTTAAACTGATAGTTTAAACAACCATTTAATTTCGCAGTGGCCAACTATTTTGTTCTTTTGTTTACAATTTTAAGTGACTTTTTTTTTTTTCGTGACACTTTCCCTACTGTGTTGACAGAAAAATGTTACGTTTGTATTTTACATAAAAATAACAAGTAGGCCACAATGCTGTATTCGTTTTTATTTATTTTATTTTTGCAACACGTTTTCCATGTTAAAAGATAAATGTTGCATGTTGACAGATAAATGCATCTTGTTTAAGAAAAATAAATACAATCATTGCACAACCTGCAGTTTTATCTGTTATCTCTATTTTTTGGTGGTACCCCATTTAAATGTGAGATTTTGGAAACCAGATCTAAATTTAGCGGGAACGGTCGGGTCGGGTAGAAAATTATTCTAAGCGGGCAGCGGGTGAACAAAGACTGAATATACAGCGGGAGCGGTCGGGTGCGGTACAAAACCTTGCGGGAGCGGGCGGGAGCGGGACTAAAAAAACATTCCCGCGCAGACCTCTAATGTATAGTGCATGCCATAATTATTAAAGGTACTGCGCTGGAGTGGTTTGAATCATATCTATCTAATATACAGCAATAACATACATTTTCATTGCTATGCAGGTGACACCCAGCTTCATCTGTCATTAAAGTTTCATGATGCGCACAAATTGGTTAAACTGCAGGAACATCTTAAAGAAATAAAGACCTGGATGAGCTCTAATTTCCTGCTTCTGAATTTGGATAAAACTGAGGTTGTTGTACACACTGCAGGGTGTGTCCTGCTTTACTGTGTCAGTGTGAGTATGAACATGGATCGATGTGTAATGAAAATAGGTGATTGCACAAACTCCCTCTAGGCTTATGTACTTCAGCCTATGGTATTAAAAGAGTATGCACTTAGGTCCCAGGATATCTTGGACAGTGTGGACAGTGGGGACTATGTCCTTGACCTCTGGACTGAGTTTACATCTGCCTACCCTCCAGTGTGGCACAGACCTGAGAATGAACAACTTCTCCTCAGTTCACTTCACATCAGCCTCTCCTGCTCAGGCATTAACAAGCCCCCAGCCGCTCTGAGGGCACCCATGTGTTCCAGCGGGAGCGTGCAAGCGCACAACAGCCAGGTTGTTTGGCCTTTTGCCAAATGTAGCTCAAAGAGAGCAAATATTTAACAATTTCTCAGTCATTATGTTAAGTCCAAAGTGTCTGTCCTGTTTGTTACTTTTGTTTAAAAAAGTAAAATGTTTTCTAGTACATACATTAAGGGTAGAGATTATTCTTCTTTGTAAAGTTTAGACTTTTTTTAAACCGTGCCTAGTTCATCACGCTGCAAATGCTGCGTCATGTGAAACAACCCAAGTAGGCAATGACACCATGTAACTTCAGATCTCTACCATGCACACAATTGGGGATCACAGTAAAAAAAGTTACCATGGCGGCAACCTCGTAGTGCTGAATGTCTTCACAGTAATGCTATATCATTATTAAATTATATTCTGTTGTCGTCTCTGGCCAACAGGAGCGTCCACGCAGTGCAGTGGAGCAGCAGCTGTGTGCTGTGGAGAGCAGCCGACCCAGGATGAGCGTGGAGGAGCAGCTGGAGAGGATCCGTCGCCACCAGCAGGGTACCCTCAGGGAGAAGAAAAAAAGCCTCAGCATCAGGGGTAGCAGCCAGGAGAACACACCCTCTCGCAGCCACTCATTTACTAAAGAAAACCATTACCGCAACACGCAGGTACTGGCTGAGTGACTCAGACCCTATTTGACATTAGGGTAGCTCTGAAGTCAGAAGATGTTCATATGATATAATGTCTCTGCTTCTTTTATGTTTCATAATTTATTTCTTTTAGTTTCAAGTGAGACGCAGAGATGAGGTGATAAGCAGTGACATTCAGGAGCTGGAGGCCTCTCTCAGGCAGCAGGAGGTGGTGGGGGAGCAGGAGACGCCCGCTGAGGAGATAGCTCGTCTCAAAGAATCCTCCCAGGCTGATCACTTTAATGTCGACCGAGAGGTACGGCACAGCAGTTAGCCGTCGTTCCCATCAGCCTGCTGGTTTTTTTACAAGCCATTACTCAGAGGGCTAATACTGTCATGGGCAAATTATTATGAAGGTGCCGTTTACCAACAGAACATCATGTATTATCAATTCAATTGTTAATACTGCAGGAAAAAAAAGTTTCAACTGGAATGGAGAAGTTAACAACTTATAACTGTATAAGCGTTGTTCAGGCTAACTGAACATTACACAAAGGCCTCTGTGCCAAAATCTTTTCATGGGATGCTCATAAGCTACCAACATGATTTGCATGACTTGCTGCCTTGAGAAGAGTTCACGGCCTTGCTTTAGATTACATCGGTGAACTTCTTACAGTTGATCTCTGCGTAGTACAGAATGCCTCAGAGTAATTGACAGTGACACTCCATTTACTTCTAAACACCCAAAATGTAAAATAGTCTTCCTGCACGATAGATGCCGATCAGGGTAATAATGTTGTTTGCACAGAAGTGGAATTTTCTGTGTCAGTTTAGAAAACCATTCATTTGTACCAAATGTGCTAAATAAGTGTTTCTTGTCTGGTGGCTGTTCCTCAGCTTTCTGTGCCTGACAAAGTGCTCATTCCTGAGCGTTACATTGAATCGGACCCTGAGGAGGCTCTGAGTCCTGAGCAGGAGGCTGATAAGCAGAGAAAAGTCGACCGCATCAAAGCCCTCATAGCCAAAAACAGGTAAGCACACTGTCATGATCCATCTAAATCAGTAATCGGTTATTAGCATGGACAGGTCTGCTCAAGCCTTGAATATTAGATAAGGATACTACGGTGAAAGAGCCAGCTTTGCAGGTGAGCAGATGTCGTGCATGAAATTCCTTCTAAAAGTAAAAGGTAAGTTTAGGGTCATAGCATAGATGTCTCATGCGCTTGGCATGCAGATCCATGCCTCAAATGTGCAGAAAAGGTCTATTTGCTCATCTCTGAGCCACTGTGGCATTTTATTCTAAATGTCAGTGCCCTCATATTGATTTTTAAAAACTGGCCTGTTTGTTGGTAATTAGAAGTTGTCCGTCGCATGCTGTAGAGAAAACCTTGCTGTTTTGTGTTTGCTCCTAGCATGCAGAATGTGCTGCCTAGTCTGGCTCTGAGCCCTGAGGAGGAGACTGAAGAGGAGGTTACTGTACAGGAAAAGGAGAAGATGATTAATATCTCCTATGAGCTGGCAGCCGAGGCCTCCAAACGCAGCAAGCTGGTAGCAGGTACGTCTCTAGAGAGACGAGAGGGTGGAGGTGGGGTGGTTGGATCAAAGAAAACGCATGCAATAAAACAAAAGCTGGTGGGAGCCTGTTCTTAGAAACAAACTGTAGCTGCTTTCATTGTGTATGTGTTAGGTAATTTACTTACTACTTACTCAGTAGCTTTTTCAGTAATTTCACTCACTTTAGTGATTATTTCTGTTTTATTTAGCCATTCACTCATTATCAACTGTTCTAATTTGTTGTTTTGTCATTTCATGCGTGCGCCTGTGCTCACCATGTTGTCGTTTCGTTGCAGTGAAAAGCCTGTCGTCCTCTTCCCCACCCCATCCGCAGTCTCCCACCACCACACCCCCCCAGCTCACTGACGGTTCTCACTTCATGTGTGTGTAGTAGCATCAGTAAGGGCCTCCATCCACCCTTTTTTTCACTCATACTCATAATGCTGAAGTGTTTTGATTGTTAAATTTGATTTCTGGGGTTTTAAAAAAGCATTTCAGGATAATTAGTTGGGTTCATTTCACGTAACAATGCGGGGAGTTTGTTCTCTATGTGTTGCGGTATCACTAATACACTGTTGTATAGCAGAACTATGAGGGAATCTCACTATAATTTCACTTCTGTCCTTTTGTTCTGCTTCAGCCCAGGCTCTGGCCTCAGTGAAAACCTACACATGAAGGAAGCAGCTGGGGAGGCCTGAAGCGGCTCCTGAGGACTTTCCTAAAGAGTTCAGCACAAGGCCTTTGGCTACAGAGTGAAACTGCCTACTTCATACTCATGGGTCTCAACCTCTGACTTCTGTATTGCTCACTGTGACGTCTTAAGCTCCTCCCTCTTCGGGGGGCAACAATCTTCTCAACCTGGCAAGACAGCACATGGATTCATACCGTTTTACTGCTGCAGTTTCAGTTTTTACAAGGCTTTTATAATCATTTTTATTATTTATATGGTTTTATTAGGTTTTTGTGTTCGAATCTGGGCCAAAGTCTATCTGTATATACAGGAGGCTAATAGACTGAACTCTGTTCTGAGCCTGATAGCCTGTGGCAGAGTATGTTGGTCTGTTATACGTTTTCATTCATGTTTCATCAACTGTTCGAAAAAGTTTCAGAAGCAAGTTTCACATTTTCTCTGCATTTAATTAAGCCTTTAATAATTCACTTAATTTTTTCCCCCCACACATTCGACATCATCTAACCAGGCATATTTATCCATTTATTGTAAAGAACATGTGTCTATGCTAAAGATGAGTAGATAAAAGATATAGATCCCTCCATTATTATATAAGGAGGAACCATTTTATTGCTGCAGACTAAGAGTATTTGTAATTTCTCATACTTCTGAGTTCTAATTATTTAAAGATGGGATTTGAAGTCCCTGGCACTTTGTTGCCAATGCATATGTGAATGTTCTGACTTGAGTCAATCTATACTGTCCTTTTTTTTTAAATTGCTGAGAGATATATTTAAACTGAGAGATGGAAAAAGAGATCTTGATTATATTTTATGACAAAAAATCGAGAACATTTATGACATGTTGGTTTGGAGCCCTGGAACTAAAAGAAAACAGGATAAGGATGTGTAAAAAGCAATAGAAATAACCCCTTTCTGAATCTGAGATAATTTTTTGTGTGTACAAAGTGTAATTATCAGAGATTTACTGTGTATATAATGTACATGGTATATCTGGATGGGAGGATATGTTCAACATACAGTTACATACTAGATTTAATTTGCAAATGTTCATATCCCATCTGTTTTATATCATGTTAAATAAATGTTTCTGTTCCTAATGAGTGGTTGTGTTATGCTCTTTATCTCCCCTGTAGCTACATGCAGTAGAGATGCTGACCAAAAGGGAGTTTGACTCAAGCCTGCAACATAATCAAAGATTACATTCTCAAAAACTGTTGACCGAAAGAATTTTACTTATTTAAATGAACTCCAGCTTAAATAGACCCCAAAATATAAAAATCGCATGCATGGAAAGTGTTAAATTGACTCCAAAATATAGATTTAAAAAGCGTTTCCCCCATGACGGTTACACTTTTACTATGAATTCACTTATAGGATTTTTTTGAATTGTTGAGTCCCTCATGCAAAATTGCATGCCTCTGGTTCAAATAGTAATCAAAAACAATCAAATATAAGATATGATTTCATTTGATTTACCAAGCATGAATGACAGTTTAAATGAGGGGCTGTGGCTCCCTCTGGTGGTCATCTAGCTGTAGCAACATGGACCATATTTTTGCATTCACAACAGGTTTCTAACATTAATCATAGCATTCATAAATTATTAATAGGCCACTTTTGGGTGGCCATGTTGTAGAAATGCCCGTGCTTACCTTCCTGTTTGGCATTCTAGCAAAAAAAAATTAAAGCTCTTTGGTGCATGATGGAAATGTTGTAAATCAAAGCCGTTTACATGTGAATGCCTGACTAATAAGAACTCAGTAAACAATGTACACGCAATTTGAGGCCAACAGATGCAAATATATATATATTTAATATATATTATATTAGGCTATCTCAAGGATTCAATGTGCAGTTAAACGTCTTCACACTGATAGAAGCGGGAGTCTCACTGGTGCAGCCCACTTAAGATCAAAGTGCATGTGCTGTATGTGCCCGATGGTGTAAAATGAGTTTGACATCCCTGGCCTAAAAACTATTATCTACACCATGTCTAAAAAGATGTAACGTTATGCTGACAAACTGTTAAATCGATATATTTGAGGAAGACCTGGAAACCCCAAAGGTATTCTCATGAATCGGTTATAAAATCATTTCTAGCGCGATAACTAGCTATCCAACTATGAGTACATTTATTTATTCATTCATTCATTAAACTTAATATTTCAAAGCTACTTATAAGCTTTAATACTAATACTCCAGTTTTTATTCAAAAAGGAAAACCATGTGCTTTCGGAAACACGAGGAAACTTTAAATACTACGTCATAGTTCGCCACCTCGTGCCGTCTCCGTCCAATCAGGGAGCGGACTGAATTTAGCCAGCCCTCCTTCTGCAGAGAAGCTTTTGACGGTGGCATGAGTAAATTTTAATACCGAAAGTATTCCCGGCTATGTCCGCCGCCGAAATGGCTTCTGCGGCTTCAGAAGAAGCACCCGCGCTAAGCGACGAGAAAGACGTACCGACGGTGGCCACAAACAACGGCAATGGCGAGGAGAAGGAAAATGGCCCTACCGAACCGGAAACGGAACAGCCAGACGGTAGCCTAGAGCCGAAAATGGAAGCGGTGGAGGCGGAGGTTGGCGAGGAGAAGCCCGCTGCAGATTCAGACAAGGCCGCGAGCGAGGTGGTGTCAGACGACTGTGTTTCTTTGGGCGACAAGGAGGTGACAAATGCTCCCGGAGAGCCAGAGCCAGTAACGGAATCACAGCAGAGCCCGGGAGACGGTCACAGCGAACCTACCGGCGATAGCACGATAAAAGATGCTAAGGAGGAGACGGGAGAGGATAGCCGGAGTTCGGGGACAGACAGCGAGAAAAGCAAAACTGTCAGCGAAGATGGAGATAAAGCCAGCGCTGGTGGTGGGGAGATGGGTGACAAGAGGCGGGCGAGTGTGGAGATATCATCCTCGGATGGTGAACCCTTGAGCCGTATGGACTCAGAGGACAGGTTGGTCGGCGGAATAACTCTTGTAGTGTAGGTGCTGTTGTAGTACCCACCCACCCAAGTAGTGACTGAACGAGTGCAGGATGGCAATCCAGTCTTTGTTTTTTAAAGTTGTCTGTTTTTAGTGTTAAAGTTTAAATCTCACATTTAAAGGTAAGCACAGAGGGCCTTTAACCTCCAGCAGCTGGATGGGAAAAACAACTTTTCAGTGGCTATTCAGATCAGTGTGAAGTGTGGGGATGTATCTAATAAAAGGTTGTTAATGCTGAACTAATCAAATTGTAGCCACTTGAAATTTTAAACCTTATTTGTTTTGCGAGAACACTGCTGACTGTGAGCCCTTTGATGGAAGCACAGCAAATTTGTAATACTATGCTAAGAAGCTATGTGTACCGCACTCATTAAGTTGATTTGGCATGAGTGTTTGTGGCATGCATGGAAAATCCCTTTCAGCCCGAAGGCTTTCAAGCATAGCAAGTATGTAATATCAGCACCTGTTCTTTATGGCTGTGCAAAGCCATCTTTGTTTTATAACTGTGACACTGAATTCCTCCTTGCCCTCTCCTCTTGCTCAGTATCAGCAGTACCTTGATGGAGATGGAGAGCCTAGTATCCAGCGGGCGCTCCACCCCTGCCATGATGAATGGACAGGGTAGTGCCAGCCGCTCTGGAAACAAGTCGATGGCTTACCAGTGTTGCTGGGACCTCTGTCCAGAGTGCTTCAACTCTAGTCCTGATCTGGCAGAGCACATCAGGGGGATTCATGTGGATGGGCAGAGAGGAGGGGTCAGTAGACTGAAAAGTTTTGTAGCCTAGTACACTAGTGCCCCTTTTTGCTCTAGCTCAACACTAACTGCGAAGAGAGCCAAATCACAGTAGAGCAATTTTCTGTAATTGGACGACTTTAATTTAAATTTATAGTTGGCCATTTTCACTTCATCGCTTCAACACCCTGGCAAATCTAAAATAAAGGTCATCTGAATCCTTCTTTTGTTAAAGTGAACTGCATAATTCATTTTCTTACTAATTTCTAGTGACATCCAGTATGCCACTGCACACTCATAAAGCACCTTATGTGCCTATAATCTGATTAAAGTGAATGTTAAACTGCTTTTTCACCAAACACTGGATCCTTCTTTTGTAAGCAAAGTAAATAAAATTTTTGTTACCACTTTTTTAACAAAAATTTACTTTTTTTTTCTATATCCCATAAATCAATTAATGTAACGTTCATGCAGTTTCACAAGTCATACTGACATCTTCCATCTGTTGGCGGAATTTGAGAAAAGGTTATTGAAAGTTTTATATTTTGTAATTAGTTTTTACTTTTATTTCATTTTGACTTTAGCTTAGTGTCAGTTACCTTCCAGAGTGGATTTTCTTGTTTTAGTTTAGCTTTTGCTGTTTGAAAATCTTTAGTTTTTATTAGTTTCGATGTTAGTTTTAGTCTTTGTAATTGTTTTTTATGTATGGAGGGCATATGTCAGAGGCAAGATTTAGGAAAACCAACAAAGGCGTTGCAATAGAAAAATCTAACTTATTTTAAAGCAGTTGACTCACACTGCAGACGTCAGGCAAGTTGTAATAGCCTTTTTTATCAAACTAACAAATACTAATGATATTTTCTCTGTTTTCATATTACTTTTAGGTCATTTTCCAAGTTCCCAGTCGTGTGTTTGTTTTAATTTGAAAGTGTAGTTTTAAACCCCAGCCTTAAAAGGCTGATGTTATTTTTTGTCTCGTTGAACTAAAATGTTTCTTACATCTAATTTTCGTTTAGTTTTAGTTAACTATAATAACGTTGGTCTTTAGATAACAGGGAAAGTTAGGTTTAGATCATTTCACACATGATCTTAAAAAGGCCTTTCTTCAGGAGTCTTTATCCTCTGTTCAATATTCTGTTATGAACTATTTTTTCTCTCTGTAATCTCTTTTTATTTTGTCATGCTTGCCTGTCTGTGTTCCTCAGGTTTTTGTGTGTCTGTGGAAGGGTTGCAAGGTGTATAACACGCCATCCACCAGTCAGAGCTGGCTCCAGAGACACATGCTGACCCACAGTGGGGATAAGCCCTTCAAGGTAAAACCATAAATAAACTAAGACTTAATGTCCCGCTCTTCTCTTCATTGTCTCATTATCCTTCATAGTATGGGTAATATCCTGACAGGGCCATATGTTTTTCTTGTTTCTGCTTCTCTGCTGCAGTGTGTAGTTGGTGGCTGCAATGCTAGTTTTGCTTCTCAAGGTGGACTGGCTCGTCACGTACCCAGTCACTTCAATCAGCAGAACTCCTCGAGAATGTCTGGTCAGGCCAAACTCAAGGAGGACTCCCCTTCTAAGGCCGGACTCAACAAAAGGAAGAAGCTCAGGAACAAACGCAGGTGCTCCTTACGTACGTACCTTACAGGCGCACGCACCGATCTTATTCCAAAATGCTTCTCATTGTGCTTTTCTCTCCTTTCTGTGTTGAAAAGGATTACAACCTGAGCACATTTTTGAGGTCGCGCTGTGCTTGTTTTGCTTCTAAACTCCCACATGTCTTTGTTGGAAAAGTGAGAGCTGGACCACACACACAAACACCAACACAAACAGGAACTGCTGCCAGCTAGACAGACACACTTTCCACATGGCAAAGTGCTGCATTTCAGTAGGAAGTGTTTCATGTAAAAGTGTAGTTTCTCAATGCTTGGACAGGTACAGATCACTACCTCGTTGCAGGGTTTGCCTTAAATGGCCTGTTTATGCATTATGCAGGTATTATTTTTAAGTTCTACACCTCTGTTTGTCTTAATTCTCTAAACAAGAGGTAGTTTAACAACACATGTACAACATTTTCAGTTTTGTAACCTTGGATACAGATGTGATTTGTGCAGTAGTAAACCACCCATCCACCAAGAAATATTGAGTCTTTAAGAGTCTTTTGTCAGGAGTTTTGCATATTCCAGTCAATTTTTAAATTGTGTATGCTTGCCATTATTACCAACTATTAATATATAAAACATACTTTTCTTAAATGGCAACTAGATTGCAATAATATGGATTAAGAAAATCCAAATCTGAACTGAGACATTTGACCTGTATTCTAATGCAATCGAAGGTAATATTCTGCCGTTCACACTTTCTGCTGATAGTCACCTACGCATACGTTCGCTGG